TTTTTTTTTTTTTTTTTTTTTTTTTACTCCTATTCCATATTCGCATTTGTCGTGTCGTATCGGTTATTTTCCAACTTTGTAAATCAACTTCGAGTATCTATTCCTAAATGAATAATAATCAGGATCGCGAATTCGATTCGATCGTTGTTACAAATTTCGAATGCTACGTGAGATTTTAACATACCATACGATTAACCGTTAATCGTTGGCGTCATAGCCATCGGTTTGTACTCTTTCACGCTATAACCTTCCAACTTTTGCCTTTTACGTATTGCTGACGTCCTTACGAAGTAAACTCGATGATTAAGCTATTCATCGAATCTTTCATTTTACTTCGATATACTTTATCTCTGGTGCTACACGCTTCCGTTTCTTTGCGTTTTATTTTCATCGATCTTTTAACCTTTCTTCTGTATTCTCCGTTTCGTTCCGCTCCGTTCCGTTCCGTTCCGTTCTATTCTGTTCCGTTTCGTTCCGTTCTATACGATACTATTCCATCCTATTCCTCTCTGTCCCGTCCCGTTCCGTTCCGTTCCGTTCTATCCTATTCTATTCTATTCTATTCTATTCCATCCCATCCCCTTCCATTCCATTCCATTTCGTTCCATTCCATTCCGTTCCATTCCATTTCGTTCCATTCCATTCCGTTCCATTCCATTCCGTTCCATTCCATTCTATTATTGCAATCTATTCCGTTGCAATCTATTCGCGATCCAAAAACACGTTTCCGTGCAAATCGATCGATCCTATTGCTAAATACCTATAATATCGGGCCATCGTTCTTTTGTGTATCCAAATGTCGAATAACGAAATCTAACATCACCGAAAAATCATTTCCTTCTTCTTAGGACGAATGTTCGTTAACAGTGGCACGGTTAAAGTTTCAGCCGAGGTCACGCGTCGTTACCTCCTAATCGCTGCTATTCGGAACCAACGGATCGACTTGAACGAAGCATTGTACTGACGGTAGAATTACGATCGTTTTCCTATCATTTTCCTAATATCGCGCGACTCAATTGAAAACAGACGTCAGTTTACCGGCATATCTCTCCGTAATCTCCTTCTTTTCCAACCATTTGTGCTTCCTTTCATTCTTCGTTATTTTTAGCGCGTTCTCTGTTTTAAATCGAAGCAGACTGTGAACTGCGCGAAAGCAACGAATCAAACTGTAATCGTAAGTTCTCTTTTTTTCTATTCCCTCTTATAAGCGATACATTCCACGCATACGTATACGCGTTTGTTCGTAGAAACGATCGGACGTGGACCGACGAATTCGAATTCGATATTCCTTGTAACGATGACCGTTGTTCCTCGAACAAAAGACGAACTCGTATCGTTCGATTCATCGATTTCTTCACGAATAAAAGTTTTAACAGATTGGCTACCGAATATGTGTTCGTGCATGGAGACCGGTACCACGTTTCTCAACCAATCCACGGGGCACTATCAACGGCTTAGTCCGAAGAGGAATCTGTTGGAGTTTATCCGGTCCATGAATAGAATTCGTACGTCCGAAGGATTCTCTCGGCAAGCGAACGATAGCGAGGAAGACGAGGAGCAGGTAAATCGTTTTACCGTGTACCACGGCTAACGTGTTACCGACCGAACGGAACGTGTATCGATGTCACGTGACTCGCGTCTAGGAACATTCCCGCTCACGACACTTTCTTTTCACCTATTCTATCGCCGACGCATAGATGGAGGAACTACGCTTTTACTGTGACGATGACACCTGCTACGATATATTCGTTGAGAAGAATCTTCGCGTGGTCGATTTATGCGAACTTCTCAAAGCGAAAAGAAGCAAGATAGGGATCGATTGGTCGATTGTTGAAACTTGGTCAGACTTGGGAATAGGTAAGTACGCTTGCAGCGAAACGGTTTCGATGCATACGTACATGTATTACGTATATATATTACACACACACGCGCGCGCACACACACACACACACACACACACACACACACACACACACACATATATATATATATGAACAATATATGTAGTAATTCGGATCGGTTAGGTTAAGTTGGTTCTCTTTTCGTTCGGAGCAATCTGCGACTTTTTACCAGCGAATTCAAATTGTTGTAGAGCGTACATTGGAAGATCACGAATACGTTTTGGCCGTGTACAAAGAGATAAAAACGATTCCCGTGAAGCGCGCACAAAAATTCGTCTTCCGCCAAGATTATCTCAAGTACCAGTTTTTCTATGACTCGGGGGTGAGTATGGAAATCGATCGAAATGCACCTAATCTATGGACGTTAGAAACAGAGCGAAAGAGTTGGACTTGACAGCGAAATCGCGTCTCGACTTTTACATCGCTCCGCGAGGTCGTATCGCTGGCCTATGTTTGCATCGGTTTTGTACCGATCTAGCGTGGAATAGATAATTAATAAACGATCGATTAATCAATGTGGAAGCGATAAAGACTGGCATTGGTCGAATCGCGTTACGAAAGTCAACAGTTGGCGGCACCATGCACGACGTGTGCTTTCCGACCACCATCGCGTTTTGTCGGCGTTAGTCGCCGCCAGTTGTCACCGGTGCTGTCACCGTACCGGGCAACATGGCCAATGTGTCGCGAATTCGGTTGGTAACTCGGCCACGTTTTCAGGGGATATCGGTCTACGTTACCGACAGTGCAATCTTGCTTCCGCAAACGGTTTTTATCGATCGATCTAAAACGTTCATACCCGTAAGTACGGTTATCGGTGCGCGTTCCATCGTTGGAGCGATGTTTCGTTGTTGGCGGCGTTATTGCGCTTATCGCAACTTATCGCGATGCATCGCGTAAAATACGGACGTTGATGACGATGAAAATGAAAAGAAGCGTAAAAAGGTGTCGCGTTTGCAGCAATTCCTCTCCACCGAGATGATCAACGTTTCAGCCGTGTTCGCGGAAGACTGGGATACTTTGGCGGAAGCAGAAACGGCGTTACGAGTGAGTGAAAATCCGATCAATTTTATTATCGATGTATTTCGAGGCGAACAATTTTTCGATCGTAATTTTTCGATCAGCGATCCCTTTTTATCGTTTTAGAACTATTTGGAAGATGAAGGTATAGAATGCCCAGAGGTGTTCGGTTTAGCCTGGATACAGAATGGACGGTTGAACGTTTGGCGAAGAATCCACTTGCTTCTTCGAGATCGCAAGCTTTACCAAGCGAAAAAGGTGGTAAGCTGGTTTTTTTCTTTTAAACATCTACTCACTCTGGTTCACTTGGTCGTGCACCGGCGGAACGACGAAACGGCGAAACGGCAAAACGGTAAAACTACTTTGTTTCCGTAAAGTTGCAACTTTGCTCGCTTCGAGTTAAAAGGTTTATCTCGTTTACTCGACCTATTTCTTCGAATACGATTAAAAAAAGGTCGAAACGGTGAGACCCTGGGGTATTTACCCCGAGAAAACACAACCGTGTCCTTTGATTCGTGAGAATACGTTGGCGCGAGTAAGCATTTTCTTGCCAGCTCTTAAGCATCGGGACGTCTCGATTCGCGACACGCGAGGCGCGCGCGATTTTAATCGCGCTTATACTCCACGTGAAATACGGTCGATCGCGGATCTTCCGTCGTTGCCCTTTCACGTGGCAAAAGTAGCGAGATCGGTCGGAACTTTGTGAAATTTAACGAAACGTCGTTCCGTTGGTTTCTACGCGTGGACAGTTAACAGCAATGACGGTGACTAAGTAAAGGAACGATAACAAGAATACGCAACAACCATGGATATACGAGAGAAAGACGGTGGTCGCGCGTATAAAGGCAGGCTCATGGCGCGCAGATGTCCCCGAACGGTTCTCTAGGGTACGTTTCCCGCATGTCGCGAACATGTACACACGAGTAGTACACGCGAGTAGTAGACGCGAATAGTACGCGATACGCGTTAGGATATACGTCGTTCTTGGTATTTGAAACGGAAGAGGAGAAGGGGAAAAGGCTAAGAGGAAAGATGGCACGATTGGAGAGTGAATCGGTGCGACTATAGGACTCGACTCGCAAGGAACGAAGAAATTATAAGAAGAAGAAAAGAGGTGGGAAAAGATGAAGGAAAGAATTTTGCGAAGATATCGGATGAAACGGAGGAAACAAGCGATGGAGCGAATTGGTCGCGTAAATAGGAAAAAACACGGTCGGAAAGGACGTTACACAAAGGCAACACGGAACGATCACGCGTACACCTTTCTAAGACGATGCTTTCCTAACTGCTTTCACCGAGCGCGAATCGTCTTTTCGCTACTCTCGCGATCGCCGTTCTACCTATCTACCTAACTTTGTTCTTTTCTTTTTCGCTCCTTTTCCGCTCTTTTTCCGCCCTTTTCCGCCCTTTTTCCGCTCCCTTCCGAGCTTTTCGCGAACTGGAGTTGGGAGTTCTCATGGCCGGGAAAGCGTGGCCGAACCACGAGACGTGTAAACTAAGGAACGAATGGAAGGACGGAACGACACGGTTCGAACCGCGCGCGCATCGACCATTCGAAACGAGTTTCTGCGATGGCGAAGCGAGTGAGCCGGGGCTGACACACATTCGCCCTGGCAAAAGAGCTATTCTGCTAGGAACGCCGTTGCTCCCTGGGTCGTCGACCTGCCGCCTTCCGTCGCTTCCTCTACCACGCCACCTTCCCGTCTCTCTACTCTCTCCTTTCCTTCCTTTCCCCGCATTTCTCTCCTCTCTTGGTCCTTGCCCAACATTTCTGCCTCTCCACGCCGTACCCCGCACCGCCGTTTTCTTCTTCTCCTACTTCTCGATTCGTCGTTTCGTGGAAATCTCGAGGACGCCACCTGCTTCGCGTCTCCTCTCTTCTCTCCCTCGCCCCGCTCCCTTTTTCCACCCCTTTCCCTTTACTTTCTCCTTCCTCCTCGCTCTCCGTCCCGCCATCTCTCTTATCATCCGTCCGTGGATGTTTCAACCTGACCGAAACCGTGAGTGCACAGCCGGGAATGGGATTCGCGCGCGAAACCGTTCACGGTTCCGGAACGGCGAGTTTGGCGACAGCCGGATAATATTCGTTCCCCGGATGCACTTGAAGAGACTGGACGACGATGCTCTTTCTCTCTCTCCCTCCCTCCCTCCCTCTCTCCCCCCTCCCGTCCCCTCTGGTTCGTTAAAAAGCGAATAAATTTGGCACACGCGAGAAGGAATTGGCGCGATGAGCGAGTTCGTTTTCCTTTGCCTAAAACTCGGTTAACCCGGATAGCAGAGGGCCGCGGACGGTAAAAGCCGCGTTTCTAATTCACCGCGTGCGTTGTACCCCGCGCTACGCGCTCTTCTCCTTTGGTCCGTGTCGCCCCACTCTCCCGCGGACTCTGCGATACCTACTTACTCTGCACACGGTTTCCCCGTTCAGGGTGTTGGGCAAACACAATACGTTTTCGCAATGCGCGTGATATTACGATGTCCGTTGCATCCACGTCATTGTTCGCGTTCGCGATGCGTAACGCACCGCGAGTAGCGTGCTTCGCGGTATCGTTTCCACCTTCTCCTCCTCGCTCTCGGACACGCGATCGCGCTGCTTCCCTGCTGTATTAAACGTCGAGTATCCGCATTTTCGGAACGCGAATATCACCGATTCGCGCCGATCATCTTCTTCGAACCTTTCCATTTCGATCGGACGCGTACACTCGCGGCAAGGATAACTGCGCTTTCCCCGTCGCAAAATACCCATTATATTCGCTCGTGTATTCGCTCGAGGCCGGCACGGTATCGAGTTCGGCCCGATAGCGTTCGCTTTCGTCTTGCCTCGTGTCCCGTTCCATTTTCCATCCGTTCTCCCTTTCGCCTTTTCCTCGCCCTCCATTCGTCGCAACGATATCCGCTTTGGAAACCGTAGCGAATTTCCTGGCTCGAGGTATTACTCGCGGTCAAAACGCGCGCGTTTCTCGCTTTCTGGCACGCCGCCGAAAGGTGCGGATTTTCCAACCGCGTAACCATCGTTTTTAGTGTCATCGGCCGAAATACGCCGCCCTTCCTCCTCCTTTTCCTCCTTCTCTCGTCTCCCTTCCATCTATTTCCTTACCGCCTCCTATTTAGAAGTCAACCCGCGACCAGACGCGTTTCATCGCGCGTTTGCTCTACGATATCAAAGTCCACGATTGCCTCCGATGCCACGATCGTATACAAAACCAACTCTCGCTTTTTCTTTTTCTACGATACGCGGCTCGTCTTTCGAGTCGTGAAATTGGTCCTTCTTCCTACTCCCGTCACGTCGAGATTACGAAATTTTTAGAGAAGCGAACGAAGACGCGAACGACGGAAAATGTAGTATCATATCCGGAATGGAAACTCGAGGGTAAATTCGATCGTTTCGACGACCGTCGTTCCGTTTTACTTTTCGCGACCCTCGCGGGTGTTTGGCAGAGTGGCGTTTGCGAGGCTTCGCAAAGCCGCGTAACCGCGTTCCAAAGAAATCGCTTTCCTCGCACGAAAAGCGGGATCGCCGTGGGATTTTGGGACTGCTCGGTCAGCCGTGACACAGTGGCGTTCGGTATTTGGTCGAGGGGTAAATCGAAGAGTAAATAGAAGGGTAAATCAAAGGGAGGAAAATGAAAATGGATCGAACGCGATGTTTTCTCAGGCGCACCATAATACCGGGACGAGAAACGGATAGAAGAAGCGAGAGCATGGAAACGGATGGCTGCGAGGTGCGTTGCGGAAAGGAAAGGGCGCGAGAGAGAGAGAGAGAGAGAGAGAGAGAGAGAGAGAGAGAGGGAGAGCATCGGATCGGGTCGAAGAAGACGGGGGTGGGCAGCCAGCTGATTCGGGAGAGTTCGTGAACGACCGTAATCGAAGCGGGAGAGAGAGGAAAGAGACGAGGTAGCGCAGCGGCGCACGTCCGATGCAGTCTGCTGCGACCACCGGGAAACCAGCTGACTGGTAGGTTCGGTCGAGTTCGCTGGTTCGTTCGGCAATTTTCGGATCTTTGTTCGTCGCCGTGCACGAGGCTACCGGCGAGCGACAAACCTTTCCGTCAGTCGTCGTTTCGACACTGTCAGAGAATGTTCGTGCATGTCTGTCGTTTTTCGCTCGCGGTCGACATCGTCGTTGCGTTTGTCGCTTGAATCGCGCGATCGGCCATTCCGACGCTGCATCCTCGCTCCACCGATCGTTCCACCGACGACGACTCATCGATCGGAGGAACGCAAGGGAAAAGGAAGAAACGCGATCAGCGTCGTCGCGCAGTCTACTCGTTACCGGTAGAGTTTGCTTCCATCTCTGTACACCCCGTCACCTTTCGTTCTCTTCCCAGTCCGCTTCTCTCTCACCCACCCATCCGACGTCCCTCTTCTTTCTCCCCTTCTATCCTTTCCTTTTTTCCCACTCTTTCTCTCCGTCTACCCGTTTCATTTTCCACTTCTCGCTTTTCTCGTAGGCCTGGTCGTTCGGGTTGCGTCGCGTAATCGAAAGAAAGCGAGAGAGAGATAGAAAGAGAGAAAGAGAGAGACAACGCAGAGAAATCGAGTGGTCGGCGAGGTTACGAATTTCGTGGAACGAGAACCATCCATCGAGTGGTTTCGCTGCTCTGCCACACCGCTAGTCCGTTCCTTTGGTTTGTCGACGACCACGACGATTACGACGATCACGACGACTACGACGACGCTGCTGCCGTGCACGAAGAAACGAGAGAGTGCGTTTCGAAAGACGGGAAAGCTGCGAGAGACAGGAGGCTAGAGAAAAAGGGATGAAGGACGGAAGGAAGGAAGAGAAGCAGGAAGGAAGGAAGGAAGAAAGAAGAAATGACCGCGAGTGAAGCGCTATGAAATCCGATCGGTACGATAGGTCGGTATTTCCAAGCGGAACGAGCCGCGGTGGTATCGCGTAACGGATAGCTCTATCGCGCGCGATATCCGCGCGTATCGACGTCGAAATCTTGCGTTTCCACACGCACGCACGCACTCACGCACTCACGCACGCATGCACTCACGCACGCATACACGCTCGCATGCACACACGCGCGCGCACACACACACACATACACGCGCGTGCACGCACGCACGTACACCGGTCGTCGGATCGTCGAGGATCGACCTCCTCTCACGAGTTCGTGCGCCACGATCTCGAGCGTGAAAGCCGAATCGCTACTAGTGGAAATTGACCGAGTGATATACGAGCGGAAACGCGACGCGACTTGTCTTCTCGTCGACGATCATCGTCCAATCATTGTTCGGGACGATTCGGCTGGTGCTCGATATTTGCTCTTCGTCTATTTATTCGTCAAAGATGGCAGTCGAATGGCGAACGAGATCGTTAATGGCCCATCCTCGAGAATCCACGATACGCGATAAAGGCGAGGAAATTCGGTTCGAACGAGGAACGAAGGTGCGTGGAATAGCCGACGGATTCGAACGAGATGGTCGTCGAGTGGCGATAGCGGCGGTGGTGGTAGTGGTGGTGGTGGTGGTGGTGATGGTGTTGGTGGTGGTGGTGGTGGTACTAGCGGTGGTAGCAGTGGGTCGTTTGGATCACGGAGAAAATGCCACGAGTCGGTGACGATCTCGTTCGTCTCGCTCAGAAAGAGAGTACTACGCGGACGATAATCCGCGATGTACCGTGGTTCTCGTGTGGACGGGACGACGATGGAGAACCACAGACGACGCGTGGTCCGAGCGACGAGCACGGCGTCGGTGTCGGCGTCGCGTTGCTACCAATGCCGGAAGTCTACCGCGATATCCTCGCTCTAGAATCCTCGAACCCAATTCGTCAGCGAGAGGTTGCGGCGAACATGGCCAGTAGCCTATCGATTCGAGCGTTATCGGGGCTTTTTAAATTTACGGTAGAACGAACCGCGGCAGCGCAGTGCGGCGCGACGATCGCTCTATTAGATCGTCGCTCTTCTTCCGACTTGTCCGCCCGTTTTTCTCCTTTTTCCATTTTTTCTTCTCATTCGTCTGTTCGAGGACCACGTTATTTCCCATTCGAACGCCTCTCTAGAACCTTTGGTTCGGCTTCTCTCTTGATCTCTTTTCGATCCTTCGCTCCGCCTCATCTGCCCACACGCCGTTTCTTTTCTTCTTCTCGCGTTTCTATTCCGTTCCGCCGTTGTTTTTCCTTTCACGAACTTCTACCGTTATACGCTCTCGCGCTATTATCGTAATCGCGATGCGACGTGGCCCACATACGCGCGCGATTCGGCTTCCTTTCTTTCCGTGTTATCCGCTCCCTTTCTCTCCTTCTCTCTTCCTCTCATTTTCTCCTCTTCCTTTTCCGCGAGTGTAATTTTCGTCTGTCACCGGCCGAAAGCGCAATCCCGTTCGTCGAGACGCTCACGCGGTGGCGTTTCGCGACGCGAGTACAAAACGTGTCATCTCGCGCTGCGATTCGATTCGATTGAACGCGATGGAAGAAGAATGGCGGACGCGCGGCGCGCAAAACGAGAACAAACGATCGCGTGTCGAGGAATATACGCGGTTTCGTAATTCGCCGTTTGGTACGTTCGCTCGGTCCATCTCGTTTTTCTATTTTTCGTTCCACGATTCTATCGTTGACGCACGCGACCGACAACGGCTCTAACGCGAAATTATCGGCACGTAACGCGAATCTTCTTCGCGCGCCCTCCGTGTCTCTAATCGCCGGTGCTCGCGCTTCTGGTGTTACACCCGTAAACCGGTTCCTTTCGCGAATCCTTCTTCGCACCGGTGTCTGTCTCTCGATCCCTATCGCTTTTCCGCCCCGATCCGCTGTTCCCCCGTTCCGCCATTCGTGCGTGCTCCTCTCTCTCTTTCTCTCTCTCTCTCTCTCTCTCTTCCTTCCGTTTCTCGAATCGCGCAAACGATCACGCATCGCGGATCGAACCTCTTTTTCTTCCGCCCTCTTCCTTCTCGTTTTCCCTCTCGTTCGTTCCGTTCTTTCTCGAGATTTTCGCGCGGGGAAGAGACGTCGGTTTTTAGGTTAGAAACGCGTTGAACAGATTGAAACGAAGGGCGTTGGAACGGATCGGAGGATTAACGATGGTCTCGCGACTACGGAATGATTTCAGAAAAGCAAGCAAGCGTTCCCGTTCGCCCACTTGACGGATTACATGGTGTACAAGATCGCGAACGCCAGGAAGAGATACAGAGCGCCCTTCCCCTGGGGCATCTGCCTGAGGCCAACCGGCAACGCTCGAGTCAAAAGCACGGAGTCTGCTGGAGAAGCCGGGTTCAAGGTCATCGCTTTCCATAGTGAAAAGTCTCGCGCCTGTTGGCTCACGGCCATGAGACTCGCCAAGGTAACCAAACGTCCGACTTTTCTAGTTTTTCTCTTTTTTTTTTTCCTTTTTTTTTTCCTCTCTCTCTTTTATACGCCTACTCTATCGACTCACGCGTAGCTTGAAAACCGACGGGAGAATCGCAGAGGGAGCGACCGTTTGGTCGGTAACCAAACGTTGGTTTCCAGTTTCTAGAACGACGGCGTTTCGAGTCTTGTTCGGAGTTTACGTGCGGCCGATTTTACCAGCGCGTCCTATCCGTTCTACCGACCGCGCGCGGTTATCGGTCAATGTCGGTCTCTTCCGTAAAACGCGATTTCTCTTTTTTTCTCCTTTCTCTTTATCGGTTACACTAATGCACGTCGGTTACGCGCGGGAGTAACGCGGTTTGGTTTCGTTACAGTACGGCAAGCAACTCAGGGAAAACTACAGAGCCTTTAAGAACAAACAGTGCGAACAGACCGACGGACCCAAGGATCGATACGTCAACTACAACGTATCCAACGTGAGTTCGATTCTATTTTTTCGCGATCGCGAGTACAATCGCTGTCCGTGTCTCGCGATCCGCGCCGCGACTCCCGGCGTTCCGTCTTTCCTCTGCGAGGAGGGAAAAGAAAAAAAAGACGAAAGCGGGAAAAAGAAAAAAAAGAAGCGCGAATGGGATAAATAGACAGCGGTAAAGCAGCGCATCGAGGTAGGACGAAGTGGGATACGCGACTAGGCGATAGAGAAGAGACGAAGGCTGGTGGGAGGCGGAATGGCCGAGAGCACTACGCGGCGACTATCGATCATCTAGGAGGTAGACGAGCGAGAACGGACACGCGGCGCGTCGTCTCTTCGGGAACCGAGGAGTAGTAGTACACGCAGCGGCGTTACGGGATCGGACCGCGTATCGCGCGTCGCGCGCGCCTCGCGCGGAACCGAGCCGAGGCGAACCGAGACAGCCAGCCGGCTGGCCGGTCGTCGGTTCGCCAACGTCACTCACCAGAGTCGTGTGTCTGCCCGGCCCGTGCTGTCCGCTCGATCGATAAACGAGCTTTCGAGAATCGTTCGCCGCCCCGCCGTCGCTTTTCTATCCACATCCGTCCGTCCATCCATCCATCGTTGGTTCGTTGGTTCGTTTGTCGGTTACCGACGATCGTATCACCGATTGCTCTTACCGGTCGACCTATTACGCGATCGGTAGAGTCTCGGACGGAACCGGAAGTTTTCTCGCGATCTCGATTCGCATCCCTACCCCGACCCAGTCCACCAACCCGACGGTTCGCACGCGCGCATCATCCCTCTCCACCGCTTCTCGCTCGGGCTTCCTCCCTTGCCCGATCATCGCCTACGCGTCGCTTCTCGACTACCACGCGCACCAGTGTCTTTCCCGACCCTCTTCCGCGACCATCTCGCTCTCTCTTTCTCTCCCTCCAGGCCACTTTCTCATCGAACGCGCCTCTTCCTTGATCCGATTATTCGCCTCGTTTGTCGCCCCTGCTGATTCTTTCGCGCTCTTCTCTCGCGACCATGGCAAAGGTACGCGGGTGGTAAATTATGCTACGGAAGCAGAAACGATCATCGAGCGTCAAGCGGAGGAGAGAAACGATCGTCTCGCCCCGATGTCGTCACCGAACATGACGAAATCTCGAGTACGAGACGTCGCTCTTTCCACGCGAAACGCGCTTGCCCTTCTCCTCTTGTCTTCCCTTGGTAACGCGTCTCGCGCATAAATTTCCACGACAACGACGACAACGACGACATCGACGACAACGCCGAAATTGACCTACATTCGATTCTCGTCGTTATTTCCGTTGGGAGAAAATATGGTAGCGGTATCTCGGGCAACGCAGGTGCGGCATCGTTACATAAGTCGCTATTGCCGACCGCGCTTGAACCGCGTCGTCCGCGCACCGACAACGAGCATCCACGACGAACGTCGAACGAGTATCGACGACGGTGCACGCGAACGGGAACGAGAGAAAGAGAGCTCCTAGTCCGATTTGCCAACTAATAAATCTACTCGAATCGCGTCGCGGCGCATTGCATCGCCGTGACCCTTACCGTGCGCTGCTGCACCGCTCGATGTTTGCCTAGCAACAGGCGTCTGGGGTTATCAACCCCCTCCCACCGCCATTACGTTTCGTTTCGTCTTTGCTCTTTCTACCGAGATACATACCCTTACCCGAATACCCCCCCGATCCGTCGTGTGGTCGCGCCAACGTTCGCGTTCTCCACGCCGATCGGTATGGCGGTGGTCGGCGCGGAGAAGAGGACGGTGCGCGCAGGGTTTCGTCGACGATCGATTCGACGAATCGTCGTGCGATCCGTGCCCCCTACGCTTGGTAACGGTGCGACGCGATGACGTTCGCAGGAATCGGTACGATCACGCGTGGCCATGGATTTCACCGGTAGCGTTGGAAGAATCGTGGAAGACCCGAAGGAAGCGAAGAACATCGCCGAAAGCGAAGGCGTGAACTGGCGGCGAACGTGGAGACCGTTCTCGAGACCACCACCTGGCTGCGCGGTGGTGAGATTGCACGGACTGGACGACGGTATACACGTTCTACAGCCGTGGTTTCACCGAGGGCTCAAGAGAGACATCGCCGCGGCGATCGTACGGGACCACGGTTCCGTTGACGGGTAAATTGCCGCCAACTCTCTCTCTCTCTCTTTCTCGACGTTCCATTCTTTACCTCGTTTCGTCTGACGCGTGTGTTTCAGCGTGTTCCTGGTACGCGAGAGCAAGAGCAACCTAGGCGCTTACGTGCTCACCTACAAGTACAGCGAGAAGGTGTTTCACGCGCAGATTCAACCCGTGAGTATCCGTCCATCGGCGCGTGCACGCGCGCTGCCGCGTGGCGCGAGATCACGAGAGATGACGAAAGATTCGTGGATTTCAGGTGTTCGACGAACGATGCAACTGTTGGTTGTACACCCTCGACAAGGGCATCACCCGGTTCTACGATTTGCTGCAACTGATCGAATTTTACCAGCTGAACGCGGGCTGTCTGCCCACTCGTCTCACCCATTACGTGCAAAACGGAGTGCCGGAGATGCTTCCGCTTCCGGTACCCATGTCGTTCCCGCACTCGGACGACGGAGACGGTTCGCCGTCACCGATCGAACTGGAACAGCGATTCGACGGGAACGCGATCGACGCCGCCGGACACAAGAGCATCTGAGAATAGGAATTCCAGCGGCCCGTCAGCGTCGACGAGCGTCTCGTCGCGGCCAATTGTTCGCTCGACTACGACGACGCTTCTCGGACGAACGGAATCGCCAACGAGAACCGGTCCGGCGACGCGAACGTTCGATCCGCGCGATCGGGTTGCTGGAGTCTGTGCCTGTGCAGCTACAGCAAATGGAACCTGTAGCGCAGATTTTCCATAGCCCAACGGAGAAAAACGCGTCTCCTCGTGGTTAACTTTGACGAGGATACAACGCGAAAAGTGGAATAACGGAAAACGACGGCGGCGACAGAGGAGTAGGAGCAAGAGGAGGAGGAAGAGGAGGACGAAGAGGAGGAGAAGCAGGAAAAGAAAGTGGAAGGTAGAAGAAGGAGAAAGAAGGAAAAAGATTGATCGACGAAAACGCGACCGATACGGCGACGAAAGCCGAGGAGACGAAAGTATACGCGCACGCATCGGGATATCGTCTCGATCTCTCTTCACCGACTCTCTTCGTTTCTCCTTTCCGAATCGGTCTCGCGCCTCGTAACGCGTTCCCTCGTCGCGTGCAACCGATCTTTCGAAAATCGGCTTTGATAGCGGTTAATCAATCCCGATTTCTCGAGTCGGTGCTTCGAGGATACGGAACAGCGTAATGTCCGAAACGGGAAGAGAAGCCGAAGAGAGCACGGGGATGCAACGACGATGGAACGACGATAAGGAAGATGCGGGCGCGCGCGAGCGTTTTCGGAACGAATATCCGCTAGAGATCGCACTCGATAGAGAAATATATTTTGTACGAACGTATAGTAGAGACGAAGAAATCGACTCGCGATCCACGTGATCTCGACGTCCATTCGAAGAAGAATAATAAAAGGTAATCGACAACGGTAAAACTCGTTCGTTGCGTTTTCTTCTCGCTCTGTCTCTCTCCTTCTCTCTCACACTCTCTTTCTCTTTTTCCGTCTGGCCTCTTCTTTCTTCTCTGGTCCTTTTTTCCGGTTTCGTCCGACGATGCGCGCTTTCCTGACCGACCCCCGCTGTGCCGAAGCGAAAACGCCGCGACGTAGACTTTCCGAGGAACCCCGAGGTTGCGAAGGTAATCTCGGTGGCGCGTATAGCCATCCGACGACGCTGCACCGCGCTCGCAACAGGTAACTCTCGCGGCACGGCTAATGGCCGAGGAGGTATCCCGGCAGGTAACGACGCAGGGGGAGGAGCATCGCGGCGGAAAGGTGAAGAGAGGAGAGAGGAGGGGGATGGATGGTCGTAGGTCGGAGAGGTGGAATTCAGGTGCAAGAGTCGCGGTGCTCGGGAATCCTCGGTAGTTCACCGCGACCGTTCGACGCGACAACCAAGCTCCGGACGTCGAATACCTCTTCTATTTTCGACCTTTCGCCGCGTTTTCTCTTCTTACGTCATCGCGTGTTTCCTCGTGCACCCCGACTGAAAGTGTGTCCGCCGTGCGTTTCGTGGCGATCGCCGAAATGCCGATCGACGATCCGGTTCGAACGCGACTGTACCCACCGATCTTGGACGGAACGATTCGACGCATTCGCAGCGAGTAAGTGACGAGAGCGACAACGCCACCTGTTACGCCGATCCACCGACCGAGAGATCGTTACGTCGAGGATTACGACGCGCGCGCGTACCAAACTTTCGCGAGGAGATGGACCGCGCGGAAGCTCCATACTCGCTGCGTGGAAGCAAAGAACGGAAGCGAGATCGCGCGAGCGGGGACGCGATCGTGAACGAGAGTGGAAGCACGACGAAGAGAAACTCGTCGGCTCGCCAGAGAAGCCGATCGCGGCCGATCCTCCGCGAGTTCGAGGTCGCGTTCGAACAACGACGCGGCATATGCTACCACCGTCTCTCCATCGTCGAATCGCTCGCTTTATCTCGATTTCACGCGAAATCGGGCGATCCTCGGGCGTCGTCGAACACGGCGATGCCTTTTCTAGTCTCGGCTCCGGCGCGATCGCGTCGCGTCTGGAAACCGGTCCGGTGACATTCCCGTCGATCTTTGGCGCAGTTACCATTCATTCGCTTCCTACGGATTATCGTCCACGGGATTCTGTCGCGAACTGTTTGCGCGATATTTTCCAAACCCTCACCGATCACGATCCTCGTTTGCTCTCTCCCCCCCTCTCCCCCCCCCCCCCCCCCCCTCTCTCTCTCTCTCTCTCTCTCTGGGTAGAGACGCTGCCGACAGGACCCCGTCCACCCACCGCGTTCCGGTACCAGGTACGACCGACCGGTTCCCTTCTCTCCCACCTCTCTCTCTCTCTTTCTCACTCTTTCTCTCTCCCTCTCTCTCCCTCTCTCTCCCCGCTCTCGTCTGCCATGTCCGGTATTCACCGGTTCGCCTTAGGAGTCGCGCGAGGTACGATCGAGGAGGATCGTAGTAGCACGGTTCGGTAGAAAGACGGACGTGGATGGAGCGCGATCTCGCGAGTCCTCGGAGTGACGCTTCGGAATTTCCACGCGCCAACGATCGAAGGTTACGACGCGCGACGCCTCCGGTCGAGGAAGCGCGCGCTCGCGCCACGCGATCGAAGCTGGTCGAGGTCGAGAATCGGTGGCCGAATGGAAGCGAAGCAAAGCGGAGCTCCTGCTATACGCGATCGTCGTTTCGAACCAGCGCCGTTGTTCGCGCGCGCGATACCACCGATGAGTCACGCCGCATTTTCCACGCAACTCCCTTTCCTCCTCTCTCCGCCATAACCCGATATTTTCTTCCTTCGCGAGTCTAATCATCGTTGTCGCCGCTGCCGTCGAAACTCGTCGGCGCGTTCTTTCGCAGGACGAGCATGCCCGCGTTTCAGGACCGCGCGATCGAGCGCCGCTGATCGACCAGCGTCTTCACAGCGTCGTTTCCACGAATCGCCAGAGAGAATCGTGGCCACCGCGTGCCGCGAGACGATGAGACCTTCCATGGGATCGTTTGCTCTGGCTTTGCTGCTTCTGCTGCTCGTCGGCTCCGCGGCTGCAGCATTGAATCCCGAGGGGACCAAGTGCGGCGAGAAACTTTGCTCCACCGTCGAGTATTGCAGTCCATACGACAAACATTGCAAACCGTGTTCCAATATCTGCGACGCTACCGGCCGCAACTATCAACCCAACGAGTGTGTCTCCGATTGTCAAGGTGAGCATAGCCACTCGGCGCAATTTTTCTTCGCTTTACTCGCGTCCCGAGTCGTATTCTCGTTTCCCGCCAGCAGGTCTACGCGCGTATCGGCACGTTTCCCTTCTCTCCCCCCCTCTCTCTCTCTCTCTCTCTCTCCCCCCCCCTCTCTCTCCGCATTCCGCATCGATATTTCGGAATCGATCGAGGGAGAGAGAGAGAGAGAAAAAGCCCGGGTAGTGCGCGGGCCGAGCGTTCCCGAGTGCACCTGAACACGAGGGGGTTCGACGAGTCCGTTGACTTTACACCTGACCACCGACCACCGTCCCTCCGTCGACTTCCCACACGCGACCGTCCGCTTCATGACTCATTCGCCTTCTTTTCTTTCCTCCGTTCCCTCCGTCTTCTCCTTGCCCCCCTTTGCTACCTGCCGAACAACAACGGTCCCTTTCGATCCCGAGCCAGCAGCAGCCATCCGAGCTTTCCCTTCTCACCGTCTATGCTTACGCGTGCGTATACCTTGGTCATCGGTATACGCGCGGCTACGGAAAAGCTTTCCTTCTTCAACATACGGAACCTTTGTCCCTTTCCTTTTCTTCCTCCGTTTCCGTCCCATCCGCCCCATCCGCACCTCGCGTCCAGTCAACGTAAAGTTTGCTTTCTTGCATTTCAGAGTATCTTCATGACAAACGGTACGTCCTCCTGAAGCAGTACGAGGATCTGAGAGGTAAGCGACGAACGCGTTTAATAAGTGTAAACGAGAGAGCAAAGGAGAAATATTTATACGAATGATCGACAGGGGAAGTCGGGAGACTTTGGATTCTAGCCGCGGCCTCGATCGCGATAGCCTTCTTGTCCCTGCTGTCCACCTTCTACCTGATAGCGCAAAAGTTTCCAAGATGGGAGAAGATGCGTAACGCCGTGAGTCGGACTTTTACCGGTAGGAGGGTAAGGGTAAGTGGACGTTGGAGATACGATGATCGAACCGACCATCCATCGAATCGATTCCACGAGTTCGACGTTGGTCCTTTTCCAGAGAACGTCTCACGGTAACGGCGGCAACAAGAATATCAACAACAACAACAACAAGACGACGCAACAAGACGCGGAATTGGGCACGTCGAAGCTGAACGGATTGAAGCTACCGATGCCGACGATCAGCGCGAGCGTGGCTCCGAGCCGATGCGCGGAGAAGGATGGCGGCCACGGGAACGGAAATTGCAGCGCGAGCGGAAGCGGAAGCGGAATCGGGATCGGGATCGGGATCAGCACGGTGAGCGGGAGCGGGAGCGGGAGCGGGAGCGGGAGCGGGAACGGAAGCGGAAGCGGTACCGGCCCCGGTAACGCGACGCCAAACACCACGAGCACCTCGCTCTCCAGGAGGCATCCCAGCGAGGACACCACTCTGGACTACGCTTACGACAATCCGGCGATGACGCCCAGCCCGGAATCCGTCCAACTGAGAACGAAACGCGAGAGTTCCTTCTAGAACACCGTCGCTCGCGAGAACTGTGTGTACATACGACGTAGGATTAATTAATTGCCGAGAAACTCGATCGCGTTCGTACGCGCGAGAAATCGCGCGACCTTCCGCGGATCCTTATCAGCCATTCCGTCCATGAAAGGCCTTTCGAGCGTAGCTCGGCCAGTCCGATAACGAGGTCGAGCTTCGCATAGGTCAGCGACGGCACGCGGTGATCGACCGAATACGTCGCGCGCACGCTCAATTCGAATGCTCGACGGTCGACGGTCGACGGAGAAAGAGAAGAAGGAGAAAGAGAAAAGAAAGGATTGGTACGGTCGTTCGCACGCCCGAGCCTCGCTGCCCTTAGATGCTAAGTTACACGTACGACAGCGATCGCGACGCGAGACGCGGTCGCTCGACGACGAGGAATCGATGTCTTCCAGCGAACGACGTCGTCGTCGCCGCGGCCGTTCCAGTCGAGCGTTCGCAAAACTATCTTTAGTCTCTTTAAGTCGCGTTTTTCTTCGGTTATCGATCCGGTAGTTTGTATTCGAATAAATAAACGCTCGAACGCATCACGCGATACGTGTTTTCTCTTTTCCAAACGATTATGCGCGTTCCCGACGACAAACGCGATCGCCGACCAACGACGGCGACACGGACACGGGATCCGGCGTGATCGGATAAGAGTAGCCGGTATGCCTGGCCATCACCAGTTGCCTCGTGTTTTTTTCCGGTTTCGCCAACACCACGTACACCTTGGGCAGAAATAGGCAGACGAGTTGCACCAGACCGTTCAACGACAGCGAGAGGGCCAACGTGATCACCCTGACCACGTTACTGTTCGAGGCCAGATAGAGAGGCACGAACGCCAGCCACAGCACGATCGTCGCGTAATTGGCGAACGCGATCCGTCGCGTCTCGTTGAATCCGTCCGGACACTTTCTCGTCTTGATCGCGTAGAACGTGGACGCGACTGCGAAACGATCCAGAAGGGGAACAAAAGGTTAGAACTCGTGATTGTCGTCGTCGTCGTCGCCGTCGACTCACCTGTTAACAAGAATGGATAGACTAAGCCGATCACGTAAGATCCGTCCTCGGAGCCACGACAAATTCTCGTATTCGCGTCTCTACTGGGATGCGAATGGACGACAGCCGGTGGTTGTTTGAACAGCCGAATCGCGTCGAACGCGATCTCGACCAGAACGAGGATCGACGCGATCGTCAGTTGGGACTTTGGACTGGTGAACCTGGAAAGACGGGAATGCGGTGCGTATACGACGCGATCGATGGTCGTCTGGAGAAATGTTACCGTCGCTTGCGAGGACTACGACCAGGGTCGTTGAATATCCGATGAATCCTGTTGATCTTGGTCGCTAGCGCGGCATAGCAGACGGTGTAGCAGAATCCGATACCGAATCGAACCATGGCGCAACTCTCGACGCTGGGTCTGGCCACTACGGCGAACGTCATGGAGAAGCAGCCGAACGCGCCGAGTAACAGCAGAAACGACAACTCTCGACCGGATGCTTTGATCATCGGGGTATGCCGATGGGTCCAAAACACCGCGCAGACGAACGTGACCAGAAGCATGCCTGAGAATAACGAATAGCGATCGAAAATGCGATCTTTTGGCGAAACTCGGCGAGATCGTACCGGACACGGCGACCGTCATCGCGACGATCGCCCAAGGATTCGAACGATCGACAAACTGCTCGGGAATAGGCTCGCAACTGGTCCCGTTTTTGCTCGGTAACGTTCCCAGTCCGCAATCCTCGCATCTCTGCTCGCCCATCACCTTGTACCGATAAAGGCCGCAACCCAGACATCTCCAGCAGCACGGATCCTCTTTGCTTCTCACCATGATCCGATTCGAATCGCACGGTCGAGAACACGACGAGGCGGGAAATTGGCCGATCGGTTCGCCTCGGAACCGCAAGTTGCCGCGATCCAGTCGTAGCTCCGGTCGTCCTTGCTCGTTCACTGATCCATGTCCAGGTACATGCGCACACACCATACGCGACCGCTGCTCATATCTCGCCACCGTGCAGACCACGCTCCGAGAGCAACAAAATCTCGGATTCGGAAGAAAATTTCTAACAGCGAGTTTCGCTTACGCGTGTAATTTCCGACCACCGCCCAATGGTACGAGCCGTTTCCCGTTCGTTGATAATTCAAGATCGAGTACCTCGGTGGTCCGTCGACCGAGTCCACGAATCCGAAACCGTTACCCGCTTCGTCTGAAATGGAAAAAGATGAAGACGACCGCGCCGACCACCACGATTATCTATTATATTTACCTTTGAACGACACCTCGGCCAAATATCGAACGAACGCGTCTTCGTCCAGGGGGAGCATCGCCTCGCAAAGTCCCGCGTTTCCTTGCCCGCAAAGGTCCCTCTGCATGTCGTGAAGGGCGTAAGCCACCGCGTACACCGCGTCCCGAACAAAGTGCAGGAATCTTCGCTGCTTGTATCCGTTGTTTCGTTCGATCTTCAACTTTGGATCCCGACAGCGAACGCGATACTGAAACCGATTCGATCCAATCCAATCGTCGCTCGTTCGATTCGAACCAACGGATTCTGTCGCGCGCTCACCTTGCCGGAAGAAGAACGGATCGTCGCTTCCTCGTAGTCCTCCTCCTCCTCCTCCTCCTCCTCCTCCTCCTCCTCCTCCTCCTCCTCCTCCTCCTCCTCCTCCTCCTCCTCCTCCTCCTCCTCCTCCTCCTCCTCCTCCTCCTCCTCCTCCTCCTCCTCGTCCACGCAATCGTGATAGATTCGCCAAAATTCTGGAAACCAAGGATCGCGACGCTCGTGCTCGAGCGTCAATCCCGTAAAATACTCGTCGAAGCCCGAGAGCGGCGCGTAGAGCGGTTGAACGGCCAGGGCACCCTCCAACACGGCCGTTTCTCCACTCTCTCCGTCGCGACGATCCGGCCACGAATCGCTGCCCAACCAGACGAATCGCGTGCCAACGCCTACGCGTCTCGCCGCTTCCAACACCCGTAAAGTCGTCGACTTTTCCGCGAACAGCACCACCACTGCGACATACGATACTCGGCGTTATTTCTCATACCGATATGTTACGCGTACCTTCGTATTCGTACCTCGGACGTCCGTCTTTTCGGCGATGGTGCGCACCACGCGGTCGTAGTCCTCCTCGGTGAAACGATCCTCGCTGATTCGATGCGGCGCGCTGAAACACACCGAGTACTCGCCGGCCAACGACGTCAGGGTCTCGTATCCGTGGTCCCCGTACTCGGTGTCCGTGTAAACCACCGACGCGTACGACCAATCGAATCGGCTGACGAGGTAAACGCGCGTCCATTGATCCCGGATCGAGTGGGAAACATGGTCGTGAGTCGCGACCACCTATACTCACCGAAGAATCTCGAGCATCGCTCTCGCCTGATTCACGTCGCTCGGTACCGTGCGAAAGAACCGCGGGAATCTCTCTTTGCTGCTGAGAAACGGCGACGTGGCCATGTACGAGATCTGCGGGACCGGGAACAGAGCCAGCACCGACGCCACCTGCGCGAAACCGCGTCTTTACGCGTTCGTTCGCGCCACCTATTGCACACGATTACGCGCGCATACGAACCTGAATGGTAACCGAACTGGATTGCGCACCGAGTACCGCGACCACGCGATCGAATCCTCCGTGGAAGAACTTGGGCATGCTTCGATCGTCGCACCGATATCCCTCGCCACCGAATCGGTTGCCGCGCGCTATGAAACCTGCGAACCGAATCATCGAACCGATCGACTTACGTCTCTAGACTTGTTCTCTTACCCTTTACGAAATAGAACGCTTGATCCAGAGCGTAAACCGGATTGTCGCAAGTGTCGAACGCCAACGCGCCCAGTCGTATTCCCGGCAGTATCGTCGGATTCTCGTTGATACGTTCGATCGTGTACAGCATCGCCTCCAACGGTTGAATCCCGTCCTCCTTCTGCGGCCAAACGCACCGTTCGCCACGATACGCGCGTATTCGCGCGTATACGCGCCTAAAGGCTTACCTGAATCTCCCCGCAACTTTTACCGCCGCTACCCTTTCGATGAATCGGAAAGAGACCGCCCAACAACAGATCGCCCGTCACGTTGGCGTAAGAAACACTGCGAACGGAGACTGCGAACAGGCTGCTGGTTACGATGCTCGCGATAATCGCGATAATCGCGATGGTGGCCGTGGTCGCGAGCGACATGTTGCCAAAGGCGTCGGCGACCGTCTGACCCGGACGAGAACGGGAAAAGCGGAAATCGATCGCATCGAGAGGAAAACACGAGCGACGATAGACGAGATAAGGTAAACGAATCGGCGGAGTAAACACACGAGGAGCGAGCGGAGAAAATAGAAGAAGAGGCAATTTGGTTAAATGCGGGTCAGTGGCGCGCGGCTAGGAGCGGCCGCGGCAGCCGCGCCGGCATCGTTTCTATGATCGCGACGCGTCGTCGAGGACGCAAGGACGTCCGGACGCGCGCGTGCAACGGGCACGGCCACGAACACGTACACCGCGCGACCATCGAAGAGAGAACGACCACGGGTCTATAGGCGAACCGGGTACGACCGCGCGAGGAGGAAGAGAAAGAGAAGCGGAGGCAGTTAACAACAGAGGTAACGGAAGAAGCGGAGCAGCGGGTACGATAACGATGGAATCTCCAATTATTCAATCGTCTCTCCGAGCCGGTCCGTTTAAGCGTCGCCAGCTCTGCTGCTCGTTGGTTCCCCGATTTAGAAACGAAACGCTTTTCGAACCAACTACCAGCGACAGTTCTCGCGACGCGCGTTCTTCTCTTCGGACCGCCCGTCGTTTCTCCGGTTTCCGAGTCTAGTGGTTGCCGTAATCGAGCGGCGAGAAAAGCCCAGAGACAGAGAGGCAACGGGGAACGACGCCTACGCGGACCACCATGGACGAAAGCGACCACGCTTCCACCTCGCAGAGGTCGTTCGGGGTAATCGATTGTGCCGTGTTCGCGGGAATGCTCGCTGTTTCGGCCATCATCGGTGTCTACCAAGCGTACAAGTCGCGGAAAAACGAGGACGCGGTTCGAGAATACCTGGTCGGCGGACAAAATATGTCCATCTTTCCCATAACCATGTCCTTGATAGCCAGGTAATCACCAACCACCCAACCAATCACCGCGATATCCCCCTTCCGATCTTTCTCTCGCGTCTCACGACATGACCTTCCTCTCGTTCCAGCTACATATCGGGAATCACGATTCTCGGTCTACCGGCCGAGATGTACGTCTACGGAACGCAGTTTTGGAGCGTAGTGATCGCCGATTCCTTCGTCTCGTTAACCATGGCCATCGTTTATTTACCCGTTTTTTACGATCTCGGTATCACTTCGTCTTACGAGGTAACGCGAACCACTTCTCTTCTCGTCGCGTTTATCCAATTATCGTTGGCTAAAATCGTTTTCTCGTTTGCGCGCGCTGCGCGCGTGTCGCGCGTTCGCAGTATCTCGACCTGAGGTTCAACGGTGCCGTTCGACTCATGGGATCCGCGATATTTCTCGTAAAGATGGTAAGTCGTCGTTTTCCCAACGACCACGATCCACGAAAAACCGAGCGAGCGAGCGAGTGAGAGAGAGGGAGAGAATGTTACAGCTACTCGTTACAGCTACTCTACATCCCGTTGGTCATATACGTTCCCGCGCTGGCGTTCAATCAAGTCACCGGGATAAACCTGCACGCGATCGCGATACTGGTCTGCGCCGTTTGCATATTCTATACTACTCTGGTGAGAACAACCACCACAGCCACGGAGTCGTTTCTCCGTACCACCGTTTTTCTTTATTTTCCAGGGTGGTTTGAAAGCCGTCGTTTGGACCGATGCTATTCAGACGATCGTCATGTTCGGCGGAGTGATGGTGATCGCTGTGATCGGGACGAATCGAGTCGGCGGATTCGAGCAAGTTTGGAAGAGAAATCGCGAGACCGACCGAATCGAATTCTTCGAGTAAGCCATTTCTTCTCCTTTCTTTATTTTTCTCCGCGGACCGTTTACCAATTGCCTGCCATTTTTATCTATTCTATCCTCCGTCGACAGCATGGACATAGATCCGACAACGCGGCACACCTTTTGGACCGTGGTCATCGGCAACTATTTGAACTGGTTGGCCAGCTGCTCGGTGAATCAAGCGATGGTGCAACGATGCTTGGCCATGTCCAGTTTAAAAAAGGCGAACATGTGAGTCGTCGCGACGTATCTCTTCTATCCTTCTCGCGAATCGAGATGCCATCGATGGTCGCACTCGCTCTCATCCGTCTTTCCCTTGCCCAGAACGATCGCGCTCATGGGGATCGGTATAATTACCATCGTGTCGCTCAGCTGTTACACCGGTATCGTCATCTTCGCGGCCTTCCACGACTGTGATCCGATCACGACCAAGGTATCCAAGGCATTTCGTTCGTCGCAACCACACCCCCACTCCCCTCTCTCTTACTCTTTTGTCCGTTCTGTACGAGTGGCTCGACGTCTTTCAGCAAATCAGAAAACCGGATCAACTGCTACCGTTTTACGTGATGGGGATAACCGAGTCGATCCCTGGACTGCCCGGATTATTCGTCGCGGGAGTGTTCAGCGCGGCGCTCAGGTATACGCGCGTAATTCCAACAAGTTTAAGCGATAAGGAGAGGATAAAAGCAAGTAAAAAAAAAAAAAGAAGAAAGGAAGCAAACGCGATCCTCTCCCTTTTTTCTTTCCTTTCCTTTTCTCTTTTTTTTAGCACCATGTCGACCGGCTTGAACTCCATGTCCGGCGTGATCTACGAGGACATGATAAAACCGTGGCTACGAGTACCCCTATCCGAAACAGCGACTAGCCGAATAATGAAAGCGACGGTGGTGTTGACGGGAACGATCTGCGTGACGCTCGTTTTCCTCGTCGAGAAACTCAGCGGACTGATACAGGTAGAGACGCCTTTTCGCCTAGAAGAGAAGACGGTAGACGCGTAATCGTCTCCCTCTCTCTCTCTCTCTTTCTCTCTCTCTCTCTCTCTCTCTCTCTCTCTCTGTGTACCCTTCTCAGGCTGCGAAAAGTTTATCGGGGATTACAGCGGGACCGTTACTCGGCATCTTCACGATGGGCATGTTCTTTCCGATCGCGAATTCCGCGGTAAGAAATCACGCATCGATACGCCCACCCTCCACGCGCGTTTAACGTCTTTCTTTCTTCTCTTTCCTCCCTCTGTCGCTCGCGACCTGATCGCGCAACGCAGGGAGCGCTGGTCGGCGGTCTGGTCAGTTTGAATCTGGTCGCCTGGATCTCGTTCGGCACTCAGGCAGCGATATCCAGCGGAAAGATCAATTTTCCCGTGAAACCGGTCTCCGTCGACGGATGTTCCGAGTCGCTCAGGAATCAAGCTACCAACCTTACGGTGATCGTCGAAACCGCGATCAAGTGAGATCTCCGTTCTCCGTTCCACCACTCAACCCCATCCATCCGACACGTCCAGCCGCCATTAATTCTCCTATTCTGCTTTGCGTTTTCAGAGAGCAACCCTTCTTCCTTTACAGAATGTCGTATCTTTGGTACACGTGGATCGGTTTCCTAACCGCCATTTTCGTCGGACTTATCGTCTCGTGGATCACAGGACCGAACAAACGCGGCCCCGGTGACGAGAAGCTGTACACGCCCGTGGTTCGTGGCTTCTTACGCCATTCGACAACCATCGCGAATCGCGAGCAGGAGCGGCAGGTACCATTTTTTTTTTGTCCCATTTCGGATACTACCTACCGGAAAACCATCCCTCCACGCGATCATTGCGCGACCCTCTTTTCTTCATACGCCCTTCTCTTTCTTACTTTCCAGGAAACCGTCACGGAACTCGAGAAAATGGACGCGAGCGTGACGAACGTCTAGCATCGCGTCGTCGAATCGCGTTTACGTCGTATTTCTAGGTTTCCCGATCTTCCCGCAGCCAAAAAGTTACCAAGAAACCATTTGCGATCCTAGTTGTCGAAGAAAGATGTAAAATAAACGAAAAGTAAACACGAAATTCGCATATACGTTGAGAGAGAGAGAGAGAGAGAGAGAGAGAGAGAGAGAGAGAGAGAGAGAGAGAGAGAGAGACAGTGCGTGCGCGAACGCGCGCGTGTATATAGACATTGCGTATAAGCACGTTATATATACGCGTAGACACGACATATACACATACATATACATATACATATACAGATATATTTCCTTTTATAATTTCAATTTACAACCTTTGTAAAAAAGGGAAAAGATACTGGGAAAGAGGGGCACAATGAGGAAAAAGAGAAGAGGAGAAAGAGAATAGGACTGGTTTCAGGAAACGTTTTACACGACGTGTACATTCGTTACAATCGTAGGCTATCGAGTCCGCTTCTCGGAGATTTTGACATTCCCCGTAAACTGCGAACGCTTCCTCCACGAACCGGGACGTTTAACGGTGTCTCTCCGTCGGATATTATGCGTCACCGCCACCGCCACCTCTACCGTCACCGCCACCGCCACCGCCATCGCCATCGCCATCGCTACGGTCATTACAGCCGCAGCCTCGATCCGCCGCGGGTAATAATGCTTCGAGATGCATCTTACGAGATCTCGTTTTTCCTATACATCCGATTTTATCGTCCGTTGGTTATCCCGCGCAAAGAGGATATTCGACGTTTCTCGGTTAGAAACTGCACGCTTGGCATTCTGTTTCCATGTTCCTTGGCGAACTTTGGAAAGCGAGCAAGGTTTAAGAAGCAAGGGGCGACATGCCGATAGTTCTAGGATCCTGTTGACCCGGTTGCGTCGGAGGCCCGGATTGAGGACCGGTTTCCAAATTTTTCAAAAGTTGATTTAACCAATGCTTGGTCGACGCATCCTCTTGCAGACACGTCGCGAACGTGTTATCCCTGAGCTGATCGGGTAAACACTGCCTAAGCGCCAGCAGAGCCCTATGGAAGATAAAAGAAAGAACAAAAATTCGTTAGTTTATTCGCCTGTTTTGCTCCTCATCGAGTATCGGTTTCTCGCTTACCTCGGATTGTCCGAAAGTCTCAGATAACATCTGACCACGTGTTTCAACAATCTGGCGGACGGATCTTTGGCCAACGACAACACCATTTTCCCCAAAATCATAGCCACGTGACTGAATCGATCGTACGTTTGACAAATGTACGAAAGACCGCTGTCGTCGAGCAATATTTTTTGCAGTATAAACGTAGCCACCGTCTTACTTAACTCGGATCCGCTTTCCATGATACGCAAACAAAGCGGAATGATCTCCGTGGTGAGCAAAAACGTAATCACCTCTTGCTCGTCGGTCTTTACCAATGCTCCTATCACGCCCAAACTCGTTAGTCGGAGATACTCGAACGGACGTGTCTTGCTGACCGTGTGCAAAAACGGATACAAGAACAGCGGCACGTGAGCCTGAAAAATTATACAAAGATGAAAGATACCATAACCTATCCACTCGCCAACTTACGTACGAATAAAGGTTAGAAAGCGTTAAAGGAATTAAATCCGGATATTTACCTGTAGAAAGGACGATCTAGTTTCCGGATGACTAGCGACGCATTGCAACAAAGCCAACGCGTTGCACACGCGGTTGCTCTGATACGCGGTCAGGGTAGCTGGATTAATGGCCGGGTAAATATTTATGATCTCTTGAAGCAACGACGCGATCGTTCCGAACGAATGCCAGAGCATCGGCGCTAGATCGGGCACCACCTCTCGTTTTTTGCTCAATTCTTGCAAAGCGTTTTCTCTCGCCTCGGGATTCGACAATTCGATTATCCAAGTGTAAACTTTTTCACGATCCACCGTCGACTGTAACGCCGCTGGACTTTGCTGCGAACTCATTTTCGTCATCGATGCCCGTGAAGAATGGTCGAAAGCTCTACGCCTCGACCGTTACTTTTGCTGGAAACGTACGAACACGGCAGTAGCCGTAAAAAGAGAAAAAACAAAACACTTGTGCCTCGAAATAACGATACGCGAAGATCACGCTTTGAGGTTAGGCCGATCGACCGTGTGCGATTTAATCAACCAGTACGATACAAAGGAGGAACGAAATTTGTAGCGACGCACGCACTTTCTCTTCGTGACATTCACGACACACGGCCGATGGAATAGGTTCGTTTGTCTCTTGAATAACGCGTAGATATTTCACTCTCACCAGACGTACACGACTCGTTTCGCTCGACACCGAAAAACGACACCTTCCGAACGAGAAAGAAACACTGATCATCCGAAGAAAACATGGAAATTGATTTGGACCGACGAAAGATACCGGTGTCGCCATCTATCCAGAACCACGGAAAACTAAACGGATACGCGGGAACGCTCCACTACTACACGTTTGCGATTACGCACTCATGCTCGTGTACGTATGCACGTGCTACGCGAGCGTAATTACAAGGAGAGTGCAAGTCCTTCGAGTCATCGCATCATTATCACATTTAGTTAAAACTTTGCAAGTTTGTAGATATCGTCATTCGGTTAAAGGATACATATCATTATAGCGGCAACTACTCGATAATTTTTTAGATATTTACGATTACAGTTTTATCATTACGCTCTTTATAGCCCTATTTTAACGAAATTTCACGCAGAGTCGTGGCGTAACGGCAATGTTCGAGAATTCGGACGCGCAAGTCCTGGGTTCGATTCCCGTGTTCTCTCTATAATTTTAGTATTTTTCTTTTTTTTTCAATCTATTTTTTATTTTGTATACATTCCTCGCATGAAATATACACGAAAACATTGTAAATAAACAAATGTAACTAAAATTTCTTAATAAAAAAATTTAATTTTTACGCTTTCTTCTGCTAGTATATATTTATTACAAAATCATAAGAATAGCATGCAAGAAAAACAGTATCCTATAACAAACATATTTAATACAGAAAGTCAACGAAAATATAAATAATCATTAGATACAGGAAATATAGAAGCTATCGCTCATGTAAGTATTAATTAGTAAATTAAACACTCTATAAGAATGATCCCTGTAATTCCAACTTTGCTGTGCACCTATAAATATTCATGAATTAATTAGAAAAACTTGGAAATTTATTAATTTTCTACTGCCGCGTAAATACAAATTTTACCGCTTGAGATCAGCGCCATCTATGATTTCGGCTCAAAAGGCAAGAAAGTAATAGGAATATAGAATAGGCGAGGAGGTCGTCGAAGAGCTGGTCACGTGACAGACAAGGACAGAGGGGGGATAGAAAAGGATAGAATGGCTCCGGCAGTGAAAAATTATTAATTACTCAATTTCTGTAATTAATTTATGAACTTTTATAATTTTATTGCAAAGCTGGAACTTCAGGCTGCATTCTTATATAATATTCGTAAAGAATTTAACTCTAAATTGTTAGTTATTAATTTTTGTTTTATGGCGTCCATGATTTCGTAACGACAACCATCACGATCTTCCGTGAAAGTATTTAATACTATACGAAACTAGAAGCAAAATGTGAGCAAAAGTTATATGAGAAGATTCGCAGGAACATTGTTTTCATAACGAGCGCATAAAGTTTCATAAATTAATTGCGTAAAGGATAGTAATTAATGAAAAACCAATGGCGTCCTCTACAATTTTCAACAACAATTCAAACACTCCGTAGAATAATAATTAATAATTAATTAATTGGGGACAAATTGCTATCGAAAAATATATCGGAAAGTTCTTAAAGGATCTGCCTTTACGATGCAGTTATAAAAGTTCATAAATTATTCACGGATATTCAGTAATCAGTGAATTTTCCATTGCCGATTCGATTTATTAAAATATATTCGGCGCACATAACCAGAGTTAGTAAACCGACATCAGAGCCATCTATGATTTTAGACTCGAAACTTGGGTTCCGCAACGAGAGCATAGACGGCTCTGATGTCAGTTTACTAACTCTGGTTATGTGATCCGAATATATTTTAATAAATGAAATCCGCAGTGGAAAATTCAATAAATTCCTCGATCTCTGTGATTAATTTATGAACTTTTATAATTGCATCGTAAAGCCAGATCCTTTAAGAACTTTCCAATATATTTTTCGATAGAAATTTGTCCCCAATTAATTAATTATTAATAATTGTTTCGCGCAGTGTTTGAATTGTTGTCGAAGGTTGTCGAAGACGCCATTGGTTCTTCATTAATTACTATCCTGTACGTGAATAATTTATGAAACTTTATGCACTCATTGGAAAGACAATGTTCTTGCGAATCTTCTCATATAACTTTCGATCACATTTTGCTTCTAGTTTCGTTGCGTATTAAATATTTTCACGGAAGATCGTGATGGTTGTCGTTACGAAATCATGGACGCCATAAAACAAAAATTAATAACTAACAATTTAGAGTTAAATTCTTTACGAATATTATATAAGAATGCAGCCTGAAGTTCCAGCTTTGCAATAAAATTATAAAAGTTCATAAATTAATTACAGAAATTGAGTAATTAATAATTTTTCACTGCCGGACCCATTCTATCCTTCTCTATCCCCTCTCTGTCCTTTGTCTGTCACGTGACCAGCTCTTCGACGACCTCCTCGCCTATTCTATATTCCTATCACTTTCTTGCTTTTTGAGCCGAAATCATAGATGGCGCTGATCTCAAGCGGTAAAATTTGTATTTATTCGGCAGTAGAAAATTAATAAATTTCCAAGTTTTTCTAATTAATTCATGAATATTTATAGGTGCACAGCAAAGTTGGAATTACAGGGATCATTCTTATAGAGTGTTTAATTTACTAATTAATACTTACATGAGCGATAGCTTCTATATTTCCTGTATCTAATGATTATTTATATTTTCGTTGACTTTCTGTATTAAATATGTTTGTTATAGGATACTATTTTTCTTGCATGCTATTCTTATGATTTTGTAATAAATATATACTAGCAGAAGAAAGCGTAAAAAATAAATTTTTTTATTAAGAAATTTTAGTTACATTTGTTTATTTACAATGTTTTCGTGTATATTTCATGCGAGGCATGCATACAAAATAAAGAATAGATTGAAAAAAAAAAAAATACTAAAACTATAGGAGAGAGAGCAGCAGCGAGAATCGAACCCAGGACTTTCTCGTCGGAGTTCTCAAACATTGCCGTGTCACTACGACTACAATCGAAACATGTAGGAAGTAAATAGATAAATATTTTCGTAATAAAAGTTTAATCGTAAATATCTGAAAAATTATTAGATAGTGGCGGCTATAATGATATATATTCTTGAACTGTATGACGATATCTATAAACCTGCAAAGTTTCAACTAAATCGGTGACCCGAAGGATTTGCACTCTCATTGTAAATCGTTCCGCGCATTAACCATGAACCCCTTAATTTCGGAATACGAGGAAACCGCCGTTGTCGACGTTGTCTACCAGTCGCATCGAAGACACGCGAGAACAAAAATGGAAATATCTCTGCCGGAGCAACCAGTAGTGTCGACCATTACACACCGAGACGTCGGATTCGAAGACACAACGAGAACGACGATACAGTTCACGTCGCAGTTTCTAGCCGATAGGTACGTAACGAGCGGAGTAGCGAAAGGAAGGAAAAATTCTCGGTTTACCAGCACCTCGACGACTATCGCTCGATACACAAAATTTCTTTCAACGTTCCGGATACGCGGAAAAACTTTCGTCTCGTTTCTCTGGAACCGTGGTCGACGCGATTGCTGGCAGAGAGGGAGAGAGAAAGAGAGAAAGAGAGAAAGAGAGAGCGGGAGAAAAATGGAAAAGCCCATGGTCGGTCAACTTTATACGGCTGGATCGACGCCCGAGCTGCTTATCTTTGCGAAACATCGTAAAGCGCTGTTTCGGAAGTCGGATATAGATATAGATATTTCTACTTTTGAGCACGACTGATTTTCCACGATTCGGCTGTATCGTTCGAACCGACTATACATCGGTATGTTTTTTAACGTGCATTTTATAGAAGTTGGAATTTATCGCAGGAAGGAAGAGGAACGATAAACGATTTCGCGAATAGCTTGCCGTACCGTGTAGAGATAGAAAGGAATGCGTGGTAAGGGTGGTAACGCGATTGCAGCAAACCGATAGTTTCGTTTGAAACTGGGAAATTCAGAGGCGCGTTTGGATACCGAGGAAAGGAAGAATGAACGCGAATGGAAGAGGCGAAAGAGTCGGGGATACGCTTAAACGCTTAGGCCATGTCAGCAGCCAGTTGGTTACGCAATCGCGTGGCGCATCGATAGAGCGGATAAAAATCGGAATTACGGCAGCGCGTATCGTACCGCACAAGCATCGTTACGTTTACGTATAAAAGCGAAATGATAAAAACGACGCGACTCGAGACATCGCATCTGAAACGGGTGAAAAGGGCATCTGCCAGTCACAACATACCGAACACGCTCGCGCGATAAATTCGAATCGGCATCGGTCGCGTCTCGTTACGTTACGTTTCGCGACGCGTATCGCGATCCGTCCTATCGTTGCACGATTTCAGATCGATCGAGTTATTTCCGTTGGATCGAATGGAATGGAATGTCCGAAAGCCGATGGTGAATTCTCTTGCGAGAAATTCCGGCGTCTTTCGTTCTGCTTATTCTTTCCCTTTCTCGTATCGCGCGCGCGAGAAACGTTTTACGACGCGTCGCAATGTTAACCCGACGGTGATACGGTTGATCGTTGGAGATTTTTCTCGTCTACCACCGATAAGCGATAGTATACGCTGGTTCGTAGGAACGTAGTAGTTCCTTCGCTGCAACTCGGCGCGATTTCATCTGGTGGATGGTCTGGTCGAAATTACCGCGCCGCGGCCGGATGTCACGTGTCGATGTCGCGAATCCAGACGTTGTTCGAACGAAGCAACCGAAGAAAGAAAATAGAAAAGGCGAAAAGAGAAGAAGGAAAGGGAGACGAGAGAAACGGGGGAGGTGAAAGGCGATGACGGGATCGGTGCGGGGCTGGTGCAAACAGGGAAACACGATCGCGTTTCTCGATCGCGGAGAAAAATGAGGAGCGTGGATCGCTGGAGGATTCGAGAAATGTCCCAAGTTTGGTGGCAAACGATAGGGTCATCGCGCCGCCATAGCGAGGTTATCGATGAATCGAGAAAAGGTGGGGAGATTTTTGTACGTCGTGGTCGTCGTGGTCGTCGTGGTCGTTCCGCGGAACTCAGTAGAGCGTCGAAAAGGCGCGGAAAACGGACAGAAGAGGAACAACGGAAGAGGAGGAAAGAACACGCGGGAAGTTGCTCGCTCGTGGAACGTTCATCGGGATCCAGAGATATTTCGAAGGAAGCGCACACACACACACACACACACGCGCGCATCTATACGGACGCATCTAATTGTACGCGTGCATAGGTGTATGCGTGTGTGTGCGCGCGCGTGCCTGCGTGCGTGTTTATACGTATAATCGGAGAGAATCGAAGAGAATCGAAGAGAATCGAAGAGAATCAAGGTGTAATCGTGACTGGAGAGACGAAAGAACGTGCAATCGGAAGAATGGAGAAGAAAAGTATAGCGCGGGCGATTCGAAAAAGTTTGGGCGTAAGAACGCAAAGGCAGCGAACGTTTTGGTCGTACGGGTTCCTCGCGTTGCTCAGTATCGCGATATTCGTACTGTTTTGGTGCACGAACGTGTTCCGTGACGCGATTCTGTCAAATCTGGCGCTACGAAACGGTACACCGTCCTTCTCGCTGTGGCAACGGCCACCGGTCGGCCTCGAAATCAAGGTCTACGTTTTCAATTACACGAACGTGCGCGAGTTCGAGAACGGTACCGCGAGCAAGTTGAAGGTGCAAGAGGTCGGACCGTTCGTTTATCGGGAAACTTTGAGCCGAGTGAACGTGCAACTGCACGAGAATCAGACGGTCACGTATCAAGAGAAGAGGAGCTTTCGATGGATCTCCGGGAAATCGGAGAACGAAAGGGTGATCGTACCGAACGTATCGCTCATTTCCACGCTTGCCTATTCCCGAAATCTCGTCTATCTGCTGCGAATCTGGCTCACGATATTTCTCTCCAAGATACGCGCGGAACCGTTTCTCGAATTGCCGGTCGGCCAATACCTATGGGGATACGAGGACGAGCTGTTCGAGATGGCCAAGCGATTCGCGCTGTTGGAGCAACCCGTGTCCAACGATAAATTCGGAATTCTCGCATTCGTACGTACCATCTTATCCTTTTCTCTCTCTCTCTCTCTCTCTCTCTCTCTCTCTCTCTCTTTTCTCGCGTCAACGCGTCTCACTTACCGTTCACGACGCGATTTTTCAGAAAGATGGCTTGAACCCGGATCGCATCACGGTACACACGGGGACCGACGATCTTCGAAATCTCGGGATGATTCAACGAATCAACGGCCTGGAGAATCATAAAATCTGGGGCGACGAGAAATGCGATCGGATTTACGGTACCGATGGTAGCATATTTCCACCGCACTGGATCCAACGAGCAAACTCCACCATCTATGTCTACGCTAAGGACTTTTGCAGACAATTGCCATTTCGTTACGATCGTCGCCACTTCTCCGACGGTATACCTACTTTAAGGTGAGCTCTTAACTCTTTGCTTTTTCCCACGCTTTCCCTCTCCCTCCCTCTCTATCTATCTACCCATCTACCCGTCTACCCATCTATCTACCTATCTCTCTCTCTCTCTCTCTCTCTCTCTCTCTCTTTCTTTCTCTTCCTAATTTTTTCTTCTCCTAATATCTCTTCCGTTCTTTTCCGTTCCTTTCCACTCTTGCCCCGCTTGCTCTTCTTGCCCCCCTCCCATCCCCGACGCCGATCATTCTCGTCCGTTTCCTTTCTTACGCACGGCTTACCCCCCGGCCGACTTCCCGTTTCTTCCTCTTCGGATCGAAAGAAATTTACTTAACGATTCGGAGACGAAAGTGTAGTCGCACGAAACGCTTCATCAGTCCAATGACCATAGGTACAAATTACCGAGCAACGTTTTTACATCGCCACGCAACAAAGACTCGTGTTTTTGCCCGAAGGAATCGTACGATTCGATCAACGTGAGAAGATGCCCCCCAGTCGGAACGTTCAACCTTTCAGCTTGCAAATTCGGGACACCGGTGCTCGTTTCTTTCCCTCATTTTTACTCGGGAGAAGAGTCGCTTTTCGAGAAAATCGACGGGCTGATGCCACGACAAGAACATCACGAAAGCTACATCGATCTTCATCCGGTAGGTAATCTGCACGCGCGTCGGCGTTCGTATTATCCCACGTGTAGGAAACGTCGCCACGAATCGATTATAAATTCCAAGCGCCTCTGTTTCAGCGTTTAGGCGTCACAGTTGGCACCGGTTTGAGATTTCAACTGAATCTCGAGGTACGAAAAGCGGTCGGCGTGCCCTTTTCCGGAAACCTCCAAGACGGTTCGATCCTACCTTTGATCTGGCTGGACGTCGGACTGGACGATATGCCCGAATCGATCCAACAGATCTTATATCGCAGTCATTACCTAGCCAACGCCATAGAAGCTGGATTCCAATGGTGTAGTCTGGTCGGTGCGGTTATCTCGTTCGGCGCTCTTTTCGCCGTCCTAAAAAAAGACGACCAATCGATCGATGCAAAGTCGGATTCCTCGAAACGTCATCGATCCGTCACCGATCGAACCGAACTCGATCCACTCTGAGCAACGATCCATCCACGCGCAACCTGATTTTCATCCGTTTCGTTTCTTGTCGCTTTTAACAAGAATACAACGCGTCAACCAGTTATCGGATCGTATCTTTGCCTATTCGCTTACCTCTTTTCTCTCTCTCTCTCTCCCTCCCCCCCCCTTTTTTTCTCTCATTTTTTTCTTCTCCTTTTTTCGTCGCCGTTTCGTCACGGAAAAATGCAGCGAAAAATGCAGCGAAAAATGCAGCGAAAAATAGTTTACGCGCAGGGATATAAATATCGATCGCGTGACTATGGAACGCGATTCCGATTATACGCGATAGATGGATCGTACGAGCATCGTTATATACCTGATTCACGTGCGGTCGATTGCGCCGTATTCGTGATAACGATATGCAAGGATACACGCATACGTGGACACGCGCGTGTGTATTCCGTACAATCGTCAGCGATCTTAGGAAGAAAAATCGCAACGTCTGCGCGCAAATGCAAACAAACGCAAACAAACGCAAAAGCTACAGGGTGACAGGTCAGCGTTGCAACCACGAGGTATGTTGTCGTTGCGTAGAAATAGTAGTAGAAGCAGCAACGATAGTAGTCGCGATAGTATACGCGTTTCGCGTTGCCTTTCTCCGCACACGACACACATCGATAACCTAGGTCGCATCGAACGACATCTTCGAAGAAGCGAGATAACAGATTCTGGTCTCGTAAACATTTTCGATTGCTCGTAAAATCAAACAGCGATTAGACTCGACGTACACAATTTTATTATTAATTTCCCCGACATGGTTCGAAATCATCTCGAATCGATCAGATTTCAAATCTATTTGGCTACTTTTTATTTTCGCTTCTTCCTCCACCTCCTGTTCGTACCACCTCTTCTAACCACCTCCTCTACACCCTCGCTATCCCCCCCTCACCTTTACCTCCCGTGCCGCTTCTCTTGCCCGTTCTTCACCTGCACCGTCATATCTTTCACCTCCGTCACCGGCCCCTCTCACCCTTTCCCCTGACTTTTCATCGTAAAAAACTAAATTCATCTAAAAACCTAACCGTAGGCTATCCTGAAGTAACGCGTTTACAACGAAATACATATAAACGAAGATATAATGAATAACAATAAAATCTCGATCGCCGTCAGGTTCGTCAAAGTCCGAGGACGACGACTATGACTTCGTACCGGGTCTCGCGCAACCGATCGAGAATCCGCTGGACGGAATAATATTTTTATGCACGGCCAAGAGAGGCGAGAGTGTCCCTCGATAGCCGATACGTGCACGCTCCTCGATCATCCATCATCGACCATCGATGAGTAATCGCGACCTCGTCGAACCGCGAAAAACTCGTTTCGCGGATACAAAATTCCTCGCGTATAATACCTGTCGCGTCGTCTCCTCGCCATTTCTCGCTTCGTTCCTTCTTCCTTTCGTTACCTCTCTATGCGCGCATCCGTAAACTCGCATGCTCGATACCTTGCTCTCATAGCTTTGCGCGCAGCATCTCGACCACCAGTGTCTCGCGCGGATAGTAAAAGCGCGAACGAAAGAAGAAGAAGAAGAAGAAGAAACGCCGAGTACCTGATCGGTATGTACAAAGAAAACGCGTGAAAGTCCTCGTAAAAGGCGAACGGTTATCGTTACGCGATACGAGAAATTCTCCTACCTCCCTCGGCGCCCGCTTCGTTTCCGACATTTCTCCGCGTATTTCCTATTCTTAAGGCAGTATAACGACGGTGACGCGCGCAACAATGTCGGCGAATGATAACGACGACGATAATAACAATCGTGATTCGCAAACGCAATGATCGTGTTCGTTTCTTCCTTGCTCGGCCTAATCGTATCTCGCTCTCACTCTCTCTTTCCAAAACTCTCTCTCTCTCTCTCTCTCTCTCTCTCTTTCTCGCTCTCTCGCTCTCTCTTTTCCTCGGTTTCTAGCCGTGTGAAAAAATTCCAGGGTGAAAGCATAACGCGTACAAAGGTCGACGTGAGTACGCGCGACTTCGCACGCTCGAGATCGAAAGGTATAGAAAGAGTCAACCGGTCAGCCAAATGGTTTACTTAGGATCCGATGAATTCTGGAAAGCCGGGTTCAGCTGACTGGTTTTGCCCGCAGTCGCGTTAGACGGCAACGGATTGCTGAGATGCAGTTTCTCCTGTCGTTTAGCGGCGCGTGCCAGCCAAAGGAGTGCCCCTATCAAAACGATCGCTCCTATCCCTGCCAAACCACCGGATACCGCTGCTCGAGCAACCGGCGGCACATCCACGGCCATTTTCATCAGGCTTCGCATCTCCTCCGGAAGTTCGTCGATGCCCTGCATAACGAAAGAAAGGAGCAAAGCATTATTAACCGTTTTGGTGGCCACCTAGCCGTCGGTCGCTAGGCGCTGATCGCGACACACACGCGATCGAAAAGATGGACAACTCCGGTGTGTTGAAGCGACGAGGTATCGAGACAACGAAACGGCGATGAAACGGCGATGAAACCGCGAGCGTGTATACTAAATTATCCACACGAACGGTCATTCCATCGAAATGAATCACGCGTCGAGGCGTCGAGGCGTCGAGGCGTCGAGGCGTCTCGTTACCGTCACGATTGTCCATTTGCCCGATGAGTATCGGCACCGTCGCTGCAGCGTCATTGGTACTGCCAGGGCCACAGCCACTGCCACCACCATTGCGCAACTGCCACCACCAGAGTGCTCTGCCATCGGTACTATTAATCGTGTGTATCGTAATCGGTTTCCAAACGCGATCGACCCATAGAGTGAAATACACCGAGTACAGTATCGATTAAGGCGAATTATAAACGGCAAACACGATAACCGACACGTATACTCACGTCCTCGAACCACATGATCGGAAAAACGATATCCGGAAACGAGGCGACTTGCTTGATGTCCCGCACCTGACTGACAGCCAAATTTATTTGAATTCTCGCTTTGGCTCTCAACGACGTACCCATCATCGGTTGGACGTCGATGTAGAATTGGTGTTTCTGTTCGACCGGTGGCGATATTCCGCTTACCGCTTCTCGAAGCGTAGGATCGGCTGAAAAGTCGTTAAAAACGGATACATTTACGGTTACCTGGTGGAGAATGAGAAAAGGACCGACAAGTTCTCAGCGCTCGGTTATAGCTCGCGAAAGCGAAAATTTCATCAACCGTATTCAAAACCGTATTCAACGCGTGGCGACGGTTTCCTCAATCGAGAAACGTTCTCACGGCGCGTCCGCCAGGCAGCGTCGAACGGATTCGTGTGCGAATTCGCGTGTAACAGCGAGCGAAAGATAGGAATGACGTGTGTGTTCGTGTGTGCGTGTGTGAGAGAGAGAGAGAGAGAGAGAGAGAGAGAGAGAGAGAGGTGAGGCACGAGTGTTGGATCTTACCGAGATAAAAATGAGGAAAACTTAGCAAGACCGGTGAATCGTATTGGCAGAGAGAGACGTTAAAGGTTCCCTCCGGAGCGCAGGGCGGACCAGCGGGGCAGAAGCATCGCTGCGATTCCAGTCTGCTCGGAGAAGCGAACGCGTCGTTGGCTGGCACGAACCTGTAACCGGGAACTCCTCCAGCGGTGATCACTTCTTCCTGAAACGAAGCAGATGAAAAGGAGGATGGCAAGAAGAGCGCGAGAAGAGCGCGAGAAGAGCGCGAGAAGAACCGCGTTGGATCGCGCTCGCGTTTTTATCCCCGCGGGGGCTATCTCGCGGCAACGGGCGACGATCTTAGAGAGGCTGCGCGCGTTTTACCTTAAACACCAAGGGCAATGCCCTGCAGAGATCCTTGTCGAAGATTTTCAGCACGGTCTGCTTGGTGATACGCGGAGGAAAAATGCTACCATCGCTACCAGCGATGCTGTCGCAGGCCGGAGCGGTCCAGTGGCCCAGACTGCTCTTTCCGTTCCATTTATCCAGCACACCGTATTTACCGATGTCTCCTTGCCCGGTAAAGATGGTAAACCAGTCAGGCATCGTTCCGTTTTTCCCGTACAACAGACCGAACTGATCGTACGGCAGCTTTTGCTCCTTCGGTACCACGTCCTTTGCCAACTTGAGCAAAGGATCCTCGTAGCCCCATAGCAATTGACCGATCGATACTTCGACGAATGGTTTTATTCGAAGAATGTCCATGATCGAGGCCATCGCCAGTCTCAGGAAACGCGCCGCGTGTTTAGACTGACTGGTGGCGGAAAGCATCGGCACGTTCGGAACCACGACCAAATCTTCCTCCGAGCCGGCAGACAGTTCCTGCAAATGTCCTTCCCATCATTACCATGTCTACCATACATCTTTCGCCTCCTTCCCTCGGTTTCGTCCACGCGTGCAACGCCGATCGAACATGGACCAAAACGGAATTGTTTACGCCGCTCTCTTACCACCGTTTTTTTCCTTTCCTGTACGCGAACGTTTCCGCGAGTGCGCGCGCTCGCACGCGCGTTTACAACGGACAAAGATATTGTTCGATCGTTCGCACTATCCGACGACCTATATTGTCTTTGTTACCCGCAACGGTAACAATACTGGGAAACTAGGAGTAACGCGTTCGCGTTGGCGCGCGCGCGCGCGCGCTCGCGGGCACTTCTCGCGAAATCGTGCCACGTCGACCGAACGTTACTCGTCGTTGGCGTACACCTTTGCGTTTAATTCACGGAAGCGCGTTGCTCCGCTATTACGATCTTACTCAACCGGCGTTGATCGTTACCAACCAACACACCGACCGGTTGCATCACATCGCGCGAACCGACTTACTTTCCGCAGCAGCCTTCTACGAAACGAGAAACCGCCACGCTGCTACCATCGCCACTCCTCGTCCCCTGCCCTATCTCCCATCTATCTCCGATCTATCTCCAACCTATCTCCGGCTTAATTCTATCTCTCTTCTTTTCTCTCTCAAACCTAACATCTTTTCCGTTTTTCCGTATCCTCGTATATTCCCGATATTTTTCTCTCTCCTTCCTTCGCTTCCGTTCTTCTCCATCGCGCCCGAGGCTGCGGATCATTTTTCACGCGTCTCGCTGCGAGACGCGAGCGCGACGCCAGCGCGACCAGACAACGAAGCGAGGAGTTACAATACGGATAGACAGGAGGAAAGGCTCACCGGTGCAAAAGTGTATCGCTTCTTCACTTTGTACGACACCGTGTCGTTCTCGTTGAATTTCACCTCGACTTTTTCCCACTGCTGCACGTACACGTACGGGCCGAGTTCTTCCAACGCTGGTTTCTCGCCGACGTTTAAAAATTCATCGGCGTTTGTCACGTTGTAGATGTAGACGCTCAATCGTGGCGACACTGGCGGCTCCCTCCACCAGTTGAACGTACGGCCGCCATCTCGCAGAGCGATCTCTCTGTTCAGCAAAATGTCGACCAATTTTGGGAAGACAGCCGCCAAAATTGCGGCCACGATGATCATTAGGGCCCCAGCGGCCATCGCTGCCCCTGCGATCGAAACCTGAGATTAATCACGCGTCGCCAACGCGCTTTTAACGATTACGTTGATGCAAACGCTGGAGAAACGGCTGGAGAAAAGCGGAAAGGAAGAGGGAAGGAAGAGGGAAGGAAGAGGGAAAGAAAGAAAGAATGGCCCTCGAGATGGCGTATATCGAGAGGGATATCGAGACGTTTTCGAAAGAAAAGGAAAAGACGATGCCGCGGTGAGTGAAGACGCGATCGATTTCGTCGCGCTTACCGCTCATCCTTCCACGATATCCTGCAATCGGACGATAAGCGGAGAGAAAGCGCGAATCGCGTAAACCTCGACGGCAAATTTTCCATCGCTGCGAAACCAATCGAATTCGGATCGAGTTTCGAGATCTCTCGGGAAAAGAGAGTCGATTACGCGGCTAGCAACGAAAAGCTGAACATCGTCGCGAAGCGCGCGTATCGCTCCCTAGAGCGTCGGTGTTAATTTTTTAATCACGTAACATGAAACAGAAGCGTAAATGGAACGAATCGTGACCTTCGGAACCAACCGTCCTACTTTTTTCATTTTCGTACACGCACAAGCTTGAATTCGTCATCGGAACCTAAACCTGGAAAACGACCTCGTGCCATTCGTCGATACCGTCGCGGGTCTGGCCAACGAACGAAACGGAAAGGAATCTCGCGGTGGTCGTCGACGACGGCGTCGACGGTGACAATGGGAAGAAAGACGCATTAGAAATGCGAGACACGATTTGCCGTGTCGCGGACGTCACCCGTTCGACCTTACAAAATCCTTGAAGATCGCGCGTATGTACGTAGCATCGGTGACCTCGCGAGACGAACTTTCGAGAAAAGACGAGCGTCGCGCGAAGCCCGCTCGACTAACGACTAACGACACCAAAGCCCGAGCGATTTCGAAAACGCGGTTTGAACCTCCGTTGGTTTTCGTTGGGAAAAAGAATGCGAGTAATCGAAACGCTTCGAGTGCGCAAATCCGGTATCCTGCGCTGTCAGCCGATGTGGAAATTCCAAGAAGACGGTCGACCGATTTACATCGCACGCCCGATTTCAGAGCAACCTGCGCGTTCGACCTTCGGATCCTTACCACCGACAAAATTCATCTCCTTCGTTCGATCCAACCACAACACCCTCGTACTCGCCTCGTCGTAGGGGTTAGAATTCCGCAACGAAGGTCGCGCCACGAGATCCGATTTCATCGTAAACGCGAACAATCTCCGTCGGACATTTAGTGTCTTTCGCCACTGGTCATCGATTTGCAAAACGTAAACCGGTTTGCTCGATAACGCGAAATGCGCGAAAGGGGATGATGAAAGCGAAAAAAGATAGCGTTCCAAGCTCACGCGTCACGTAGATTCTTGCGTAATCAGTGATTTGGTAATAGACAGACATGAAAAATACCGACGACGATGACGACGAGGACGAGGACGAGGACGAGGACGAGGACGAGGACGAGGACGAGGAGGAAAAATCACGTTCCGACCAAATGAAATGGCGTGGACAGCGAAACGAAACGAGATGGTTCATTCGTTTTCGTCTACATAGTTGTCGCGTACACGCTGTATCACGATTTTACGCGTACATACGTATACTCGGTTTTACGTCATCGACATCGGGGTTTCGTGGTCGGTCCGTTTCTAAAATTTTCAATCACCTCCAACGTATCCCTCGATGGAGCACGAAGGCTTAGGTGAAAGCGCAATGACGCGAAGCTCCGGTCAACGAGTCCCGCGTACACGAAACGCGTATCGAGACACGGTATCAAACGCGTACATTCGAGCATTGGTTTACGCAACTGGCAAAATCGAGGCGAGAATGGAATTTCGTAGGTCGCGTTCCACGAGAGCGGTTAGCGCGAGTAACGTGCCGTCGCTGCCGAGTAAGTCGTACGCGAGAGTCGATCTCGCGCGACTCCCTTCGATCGCACCGTTCTCTTTTCAACCGCTCGCGCCAATCCGTCGGCCAATCTCGTCCGACCGACGGATTTGCACGCGAACGCGATGCCGAACGCGATGCCGAACGCGATGCCGATTCCAGTATCTTTCCGTTCCCATCGTCTTCCTCGTTCAGGGGAATAATGCTCGGTAAGGGCGGTCGATATACCATCCGACGTATCGACCAGTCGTGCGCGAAACCTACCTGTCGCTCTCTCCCTTGCCGCCACCGACGCCGCCGCCATCCGCGCCGATATTATACGTATTAATTGGAAAGCGATGCAACCGACGTTCGCTCGATCGACCGCTACACCGTGTATCGCGATCACGCGATCACGCGACCACGCGTACAAATTGCAACCAACTCCGTTCCTGCGTTCCTCGGCTTTTCTTCGGCTCTCCTTCGGCTCTCTATACGCATTCCATTCGCCGACAGAAACCTCTACCTTGCCCGTTTCAGCTACACACGGTAGCGTTGTATCGCGAGGAAATCGATCGACGATAGTAGGAAACGATCGTGCGAGTAGGAATATCGGTGGGTCGAGGCCCGATGAAACCGGGCTGCTTGCCTCGCTCGGCGAAAGCTCGATAGAGAATCGAGAATCGTGCGAGAATCGTCATCTTCCGTCCAACGTGCGTAACCGGCTTCGATTCCGAAACGCCAAACCTATATACTTACCTACGCATACTAACCGGCAATTACTCGCGATTATATAAGGTCGTACGCTTCCTGCTCTTACTCGGAACGTTTCACGCCTAACGCCAACCAAACCAACTGCTGCGATTCCACCGCGATTAACCACCTTCCGTCGCCGCTTCTAACAGGGCCCTTCTTTTTTTTCTTTCATTTTACTTTTCCCAGGGAACCACGGCATTTCGCGGACTCGTATTTTTCTCTTCTGCCACGAACGTTCGCCGCGCTCGTTGCAGAATTCCGTGCACGCCGAGCAGAAATTATGTCGGGAAAATTGCATAACTGGTCGATCGACGCTGCAAACGAGTCGATGATGACCCCGGAATCGAACACAGGTAAAACCCCCCACCTCCTCAAACCTCATCCCAATCATCTTTCCACATTTTCCTCCTATCGCCTTGTTCTTCCTTATAATGGTAGCAAAGTTCATTTTCCGATACAAGAATAATATCCGTAGGCTATGCGATTACGAGGCGCCTTGTTTTCTCCATTTTCTTGTCGATCGTTCTTTCTATTCACCTCACGATTCTATCGATTCCCCCCCCGCTCTCTCTCTCTCTCTCTCTCTCTCTCTCTCTCTCTCTCTCTCTCTCTCCCCCTCGCCACTCTAACCTAACCTTTTTCTCTCCTTTTTCACGCCTATATCCCTTTTGGCCAATTTTCCCTGCCTCCTCGTTATCTTCTTTTCCTCCTTCCCCTTCTTTCTCTTTCTCTGCTCTATCCGCGTCTAAACGTATACGCATCCATACGTACGGGTATAATGGAAGGAGATGTAAATCGGTGCGAAACTCGCGTTCGAAACTCCCGGTCTTGGAGTGAAAGTAGACGCTGGCTCGTATTCGCGCTCGACAGATTTTTATCGTTCCGATCGATTTTCGTTGGAAATAATTTTTGTCGCGACGCGGCCTAACGCAGACAAGTACCGACGCGACCAGTGCGGCGCAATGCGATGAATCATCGCGAGCTACGCGTACGAGATGGCACGATCGTCGAATTGAATTAAAAACGCACCGAGCGTGACGTTCGTGGCACCGGTAACGTCTTTAACGATTCTCGTTAACGTACCACTACTCGCCCGTACGCAAACGACATCGCGCGAATAACCAATCAATCGCGTCTTTCGTCGATCCTTCAGTTACCTCCGTTCCAAACTTTTCCACCGTAAACCTTACTTTGTCCCTCGTTACTTACACCATCGCTTCAGGAATCCTCCCTGCAGTTTTGCACAGATCCCACGATGTACTCTCATCTTTATCGCGCTCCGCTACCCTCGATTTAACTCGATTTTTCCTTTCCTCTCCTATTCTCCTCCCTCTTTCTTCCACCGCTTTTTCTTCTCCTTTCCAACTTTTATTATCACTCGATCTTGCCCCCTCTTTGCCAGCAAACAATCACCGAAACTTGAACCTCGATCCAATTACTACGCTTATTTTTCACTCGAGTCTCTTCCCGTTGATCATCCGCTTTTCGCGCTACTTTTTCTCCCTCAACCGATTCACTACTGCCTTTCTTCCCCAACTTATCCACTATTTACCCCTCTTTTTCTCCTCTTCTTTCTATCCTTTCCTTTGCTATCTCTCCTTTCTCTCCTTTCTCTCCTTTCTCTCCTTTCTCCACTTCTCACGTCCTCGCTTTCCTTCTCCCCCTAATCTTCCTTCTAGTTTTGCTTCTTGTCCTCGTCCTCGTCCTCGTCCTTGTTCCCGTTCTTCTCACCCACGTCGTCGTCTTCGTTCTCGTCTTCGTTACCGCAGTTGCTGTCACTGGCGATGTAATTGACGCCGTCGTCGCGGTCGTCGTCGTAGTCGTCGTCGTCGTCGTCGTCGTCGTCGTCGTCGTTGTCTTTGCGGTCGTCGTAATATTCGTCGTCGCCGTTGCCGTTGCCGCTGCGATTGTCGTCGTAAGTGTCCTTGTCGTCGTCTTCGTGGTCGTCGTCGGCGTCGTCGGCGTCGTCGGCGTCGTCGTCGTCGTCGTCGTCGTCGTAGTAGTAATAATGAGAACTAATAGTAGCAGTAATACAAGTTAGTAGTAGTAGTAGTAGTAGTAGTAATGGTTGTCCTCGTCGTCGTCGTGGTGGCGGTGCTGTTGTCTTTCACGTTAACGTTATTTGATCGCGATCCTTCCCGTAGACGCGAATAAGAGACGAAAGGCGGCGGCGGTACGAGGAACGACGAAAAGGAGAAAGTCTATTCTCCTTTCCAAGCGACAAGTGTGCCACTGGCCGTACGTCGCCAATGAACAAACGATACTACTCCGTTACACACGGTAGACGATCTGACGCGGTCAAACGACGATTCACCTTTCTCCAGGCAACCAGTAAACATGCGTCTTTGCGCCGATGATAGTTTCGATCACCGCACGACCAACGGTAAACTCAATCACGACCGATACCTTCTTCGTTCTTCGACCAACGTCACTCGATCCACTCTTGATCATGTACGTTCAAATATGTGCTTCGGCTCTCAACTTCTTCCGCCAACTCGTTCGTCGAACGCGAAAGAGCGCGTGCGCGCGCGCGCGCGCGCTTCCGATCAAGACGGCCAAACGCGAGCGAGCAGATCGCGCTCCTACGATCCAGCTTCGATCCTTCTTACCGATCCTACCGTTTCTCCCCGACTTACGATCCCGTGCTAATCGCCAACGAGACTAAAACTACCAACAGCATTTGCCACGAAACCAAGCGAAAATATGTTACACCGTGTTCTGTCAACCGTTCACTGCGAGATCAGTTGAAACACTACGCGACAGACGACCCGACCAACGCTACTACTCTCTTACCGTTCTCCACTGCATCCTCAACAGCAAGCATGCGGTTCAGGTGAACGATTTATCATTGCCCCACTCCTCCTTTTCCACTTCTCCGTTCCACTTCTTCCTTCTTCGTTTCTTCTCCATTCATCCACTCTTTCTTTCGTTTCTCCACACGCTTTCCGCTCCACACTCCTTCGTGCCTGCCGTCGCCTTCACCTTCGCCTCCACCCTCCACCTCTTTTCTGTCTTTACGTCTCGCCCACATTTATCCCCACTCCACCATAACCTCTACCGCCATATTTACCAACCCATTTCTATCTTTTTTACCTTTCTCTTCCTTCCTTCCTTCCTTCCTTCCTTCCTTCCTTCCTTCCTTCCTTCCTTCCCTCCTTCCCTCCGTCCTTCCTTCCCTCCCGCGCCACTTAGCTTATCCTTCTTCATCCCTGCGTTTCTCTTCCTTTCTCATTCTACCTTTCAACTCTACACTACCGTCTCTATACTCTTCTTTCCTTCCTTCCTTTCCTCTTCCCTCTCTTCTTTCTTTTCACGTGCGCCATCTACCACCTGTTCGTCCTATACATAATCCTAACCGATCTACTTTGCCCATTGCCACTGTTATTTACCCTACCAATATCATTCGCTCTCCCTACAACAACTTGTCCATCATCGCTGGCCCATATCTTCCCCGCTTCTCGTTATTCCTCGCAACCCTCTTTTATCTCTTTTCGTCTTTCTTTTCACAATCTTTTCTATCCAAACCAGTCTTATTCTTCTAATTTATATCTCCCATCGCCATCCTTATCCTCTGTCTGTCCTTACCTACTTTTATTCGCAGCAAAATCCTACCTCTTCGATCCCCAACTTAATTGGGCAAGCACGTATCGTGATAAGGAGAACGCGACAATTTTCTTTTCCTGTTTCTTTTTTTTCTTTTTTTTTTTTTCTCCATCGACACGCCCAGCTCTAACTGTCTTTTATGCTTGCGTGTACAAGAAATCAGCAATGTAATTATACAGGTAATTATATAGATAATTTATAGGTAATTTATAGGTAATTTATAGGTAATTATATAGGTAATTATACAAATAATAGTTGATCGTCTAGTAATGTTTACGAAAGTTAAACAGCTAGACGAAAAGATGATGGAATTTTGTTACAATATTGTGCAAGCGTGCGTAGGAAGCAGAAAGGGATAGCAGGCTAAAAATTGCGCGTGAACAACGGCAGAAGCGACACAAAGCGTTCGCGGTGCGAATGAATATGTAATTGCCGTTGTGTAATTCTATAACACGTGCTTTGCCCTTGCTCGCGGCACCATGGGGTCAGGGGATAACGAGGGACCTTGACCCATACATTGAAAACTAATCCCTGTAATTTCGTGGAAATTGAAAGACATTTCCGGACATCTCGGACAACCTGCAAGTGACCCTCATAATGTTAGATTGTTCGTAAAGTCGTGTTTGTAATATATATATATATATTACATAATCTCCAGCCAGACATTGTTCACGCTATGATCAACACACAGCGCAACAACTACGTTGTATAGTAGCGTGTGCGCAGGCCAAAGGTACACTTTTTCCGCTTCTTCGTCCTTCTTAATTTCCTACTCTAATCCTCTTCATCTACCAACGAACCTCCATGGTTCGGCATGTCTCCATGCAACATCGTGACAAGAGAGCAATCTATCACCGCGGGTAAGGATAAAAAGCCAACATACTACGAAACAATTTCATCTAAACGGTAACAAATACGCTTTATTTTATTTTTTATCTTTTTTTTTTTTCTTTTTTTCTCTCGTTTTTTCCAATTTTTTTCCTCTTTCTCCTTCTTTTTTTCATCTACACAAATATATACGTATCTTCAGTGGATTCGCACACAAACGAAAATGAAAGACGCGGTATCCACGAGATTTTCTACGTGTCGAGTAGATTCTGTGGATCGGTGAAAACGAAACAGACAAGTTATCTATCTATTTCACCGAATACCACATCCAAAGTACCGATAATTGCTACGACATCAGCTAGCAAACATTTAGGACCCATGTGACGTAACGCTGACAAATGGGCGAATCCCGGTGCTTTGATTTTGCATCTGTAAGGTTTACTACTACCATCGCTTACGAGATAAACACCAAATTCACCCTTCGGTGCCTCGATCGCGGTATATGTCGTTCCAGGAGGCACTTGAAAGCCTTGACTGTACAATTTGAAATGATGTATCAGCGCCTCCATGCTCGTTTTCATTTCTTCCCTTCTAGGCGGTACGATTTTTGCGTCATCGATTCGAACTTCGCCTTCCGGCATTTGATTCAAACACTGATAAATAATTCGCATCGATTGACGCATCTCTTCCATGCGGCAAACATACCTATAAAGATAGACCCTGTTATATAATGATAAGTCATGTGTGAGATATCAAACGATAATTTACGAAAAAGAAAATCGCTTTGTCAGAGGAAAACTACCCGTCAAACTAAACTATCCGCTTCCCCGACCAAACATTTATTTCTTACTGACACTTTTTCTTTTTTTTTTTTTCTTTTCTTTTCCATTTCTATTACCTATCATAGCAGTCTCCATTTTCACCAACTGGAACGTCAAATTCGACCAAGTCGTATGCATCGTACGGGGTCTTCTTTCTCAAATCCCATTTGATTCCAGAACCCCTTAACATTACACCACTGAATCCCCAATCTAACGCCTGCTGTACAGTCACCGTTCCAATGTTCTTTGTACGCCCGATCCATATTCTGTTCTCTGACAGCAAATCCTCTACTTCGTCTAATCGTGCCGTGAATTTCGTGCACCATTCGTATATATCGTCCATTAAACCCAACGGCATATCCAAAGAAACACCTCCAGGACGAATATAAGCAGCATGCATGCGGGCACCGCTCACGCGTTCATAAAATTCCATTAGTTTTTCTCTTTCCTCAAACAACCAGAAAAACGGCGTCAGGGCACCGATATCAAGAGCGTGTGTTCCAACTTGCATTAAGTGATTCAGTATTCTTGTAATCTCCGCGAACAAAGCTGAAACACATGGAAATCTTCAACCGATGAAACGCTAATCCTTTGACTGTGTATCCCATCTATCAAATTTTACCATAATCCGCAAATGTCGATTGCTTACTTCTAATATATTTTGCTCGCAAGGGCACTTCGATGTTCAATAATTTCTCAATGGCCATAGAAAAACACTGCTCGTTGCACATCATTGAAACATAGTCTAAACGATCAAAGTATGGTAAAGCTTGCATATACGTTTTATATTCGATTAACTTCTCTGTTCCCCTATGTAACAGCCCTATATGAGGATCTGCGCGATGAACGTACTCTCCATTCATCTCTAGTATCAATCGTAATACTCCATGCGCAGCTGGATGTTGAGGACCAAAATTAATGGTTACCATTCGCAATTCTGATTCCTCTAGCATTGCCCTGGTCACCAGTTGGTTCCAGTTTTGATGATGAGAAAAAATCCACTTTTGTTCCTCTTCTACAATATGTCGGGCCCCATCGGTAGCAGCACTGTGTCGAAAGTCTTCCATGCTGGGATACCATCTATGCGCACCACGTCGACTACTAAAATATATCCACATTTCTTATATATCCTTAATTACTAGTAATTACTATACATTCTTAATTACTACGATCGAAAAAATTATTCTTTATATGTTATGACACCGTTATATAACCAAATACATACGTGACATTTTCATCATTTCAAATCCAATTACGTTAACCTCACCTTTCGACATTGTACAAAACTGCTGTCTTGTTGGCGGTAATAATTCCTTTCTCGATCCATCCTCCGTTTAATGTCTTATAGGAACGGAGGAAATGTCCCATCACTCTGACAGCCATTTTACTTCCAATGGCACCGCTTTAGTCTAACACTGAAAACACACTCTTCACTTATACTTTCTCGCCTTCCCCTTCGTTTCTTATTTTACACATATAATATTAGTCTTATTACTATTACTATTATTGTTGTTATAATTAACTACCATTAATCAACGATTCAACCACCGCCTTCCTGCCAACATTCTCTAAATTGTTCCAATCTACGCTATTCTCGATCCTTTCGAGTCCCTTTAAATCGATTCAACTCGATTCAACGCAAATCAATACCTTCACTTAACAGAACGTTGCTTCGTACAACAGTGTGGCAACTGTTGCACATTACCTATCGCGCACTCTCGTGGTTACTTTTTGCTTCTTCGCTTTGTCCAATTGCTTTACGTTATATGTTACATACCTTATTTACACTTTCGTTTAGATGATAATTATAACAATACTTTCATGTATACCTTTGTAATAAAATAAGTTACGTATGCAATATAAATGCAATATATAACATTATATCCTATATAAGTATCTATGAACTTATTCATTCTAGATTGCAACCAACACCGAAATTAAGATATACTGAATTTGATATTCCCATGAAAGATGAACGCATCTTCTAAATACAAACTTGTCCAGTTTAACAAAGGAAAAGAGATATATAGATATATAAATAGAGAGAGAGAGAGAGAGAGAGAGAGAGAGAGAGAGAGAGAGACAGAGAGACAGACAGACAGACAGACAGACAGACAGACAGAGGTGGGAGGAGCAGACAGAAAGAGAAATAAACATATATTTATACACGTTCCTTTCCTATGCAAATGTGATATCGATATTGAAAAATTATAAATGTTGAAAATTATCTATCGTTATAATAAGTATAGAACATTTTGCCAATGAAACATTAATATACGAGACAAAAGATATCATTTAAAGTTAAAATTAAAAGCAGTCAAAAAATAATAATTGGAATCGTAGAATCGTATATTATGACTTTAGGTACAAGCCACAAGGCTTGTGTAGTTATCGATGTGAACACGAATTTAGATTATTGGACGAACTCGTGCACGTTACACGATATATGATCGATATATAAAAATGAATTTGGTATTATGGTATTTTTATATTCTACGATATATCTCAATCGATATTATCAAGAAACATTTTTCTTTTCTTTTTTTCGCATCTAGTAAATACAATAATCAAACAATAATTACTAGAAATATTTGCAATTTATCATTCACCTGTTACGTACATACATATACACATTTTTATACATCTACATATTTGTTTCGTTTATAATAAATTCATCGTTAATTTCGTTGTATGAAGAAAGAAAAAAAGAACAAGAAAAAACAAACGAGGAAAATAATATACATAAAGATTAACATACGCTGTTAAATACTCGAGTTTATATTCGTAAAATATTTGCAATTTTTATACTGATGTAACGATTGCCAATACTCTGTTACGGGTTATCATATTGAGGTCGCTATTTTGAATCTAGAACAAGATAGGTTAAGATGAGGTAGTTAAGTATGAATCGACGTCATACTATCACCTGCCAAAATTCCATACGCTGCAGTTTCGTAGCCAATCATGGTATATATCTGTGTCGGCGTGTAGGTTACATCTTTTTTACATTTATACGTTTTTTATCGAATATACATACGGAATCGTATTGTTCTACTTCTTATTCCTTCTATTGCCTTTTATCCATTTCAGTCCATCCGTTCCGTTTCATTTCGTTTCATTCCATTCCATTCCATTCCGTTTCGTTTCATTCGGTTTGCTTCCGTTCCGTTCCGTTCCGTATCGTGCCGTGCCGTTCCATAATTGAACAGCATGGTTTCCGCGAATTTTATCCGCAAGAGATTTCGTGTACGGAATTTAGAGTAAACAATAGAATCGAGGAAAAATAAATGAACAAAACAAACATGGACTCGTTACCCGTGAAACGAGACCATTATTTTATTCATAAGGTACCTATATACAATACAATTCGTTCTTTATTTTTCTTCTTCTTTCGACACTTTTGCAACCTCAAGTGATACAAAATATGTACAATATACGGATAAGTATGTGCTTGTATGATACAGAACATGCATGGGCATATACATACATACATACAAACGATCAGTCAGCCGCCATTCACGTAAACGCTTTTATTTTATTTATGCAGATGTACGAGTATTAATACGTGTGCTAAATAAAGATACAAAAGTATCGTACATGAGTCGTAATGAATTTATGATTAAAAAGAAATAATATAAAAATCGTAAAGAACACAAATACGACGACTGGCATAAATTTTTTGAGACGCAAAATACATGCAAGAGGAAAAGAAATTTGTCTATCCTTCCGATCAAATCTTATATCTCCTGATAGCCCTTTGTCGTGATTGCTGAAAATGAAACACCCACGTATCGTTTTATATTACGTTGTTGTTGCTATCGTTGTATTTGCCAAGCATAATAACAAAAATGTTTGGATGAAATGTAAGAATATTTGTTCATTAACATTTTGGAATATCGAAATTATCGTGAACCGTTAATTTCAGAACAAATTTCAACAAGAAATATACGTATTTATAACGATTACGTGGAGACAGTGGCGGTGGTGAGAAAACGGCGACGATGACCATGACGGTGTTGAAAAAGGTATACGACATTTATACCATGCAAAATTGAACACGATTCCGTTGTGTGGCGAAAATACATATACCGAAACGTTAACGAAATTTCAATGGAAATCGTAGAGAAGATAACGATGTAGCGACTGAGGCAACTGTAGCTTACAAACAATCTTGGGCAACTTGGTACCGCAGAGCTTGCGCACTATTAACCTCGCTTGATGAGTCAAGGGCAACGGTGTTCGTGCTGCTTCCATTACAAGTGCTTTTTGTGCATCCGTCAAACTACTCGATCTTTTTATCATGCAAGGGTCGAAGCTTTCTGCCGCTTCCAATAACGCCTTCAGCAAACGTGGCTTATCCGCTGTGTTCTGAAGAGAGTTGAGTATACCGTGAGGATCCCGGAATTGCGTCTTAATGACAACTCGTGCTCCGTACTTGAGCAAAAGTGCTACCACTTCGACAGAGGGATTCTCATTGGAAGCGACGTATTCTGCGAGAACTGGACGCAATGCGGGACCTTCATCGCTGCGTATCACCAAGTTGGGGTCCGCTCCTCGTTCCAGTAACATCGATAGAATCTCCAGTCTATTCGGAATGTTATCCGCGCAAGCAACATGAAGAGGCGAGCCGATGATCGGCGATGTGGCATTTACATCAGCGCCTAAATTCGAAATCGCTTAATTGCTATATGCGTTCAGTTTGTGTTTTATGTAAGACGAATTTATTCGACAGATGAGCAAACGAGTATATTGATGTTGAACGAACGCGTATATAAGAATGGCCGGTCGAGCCAACGATCGAACAAAGAAGCTTTGCGGAGTATGGCACACAAGCACAACGATAACTTGCAGCATGCCTCCGGGTTTCGCATGCAAAATGCAAGAACACGCGCTGGTAGTTGTAAGTTGAGGCTGGTTTTGAAGAAAAACAAGTTGACCAGCGAAAATGATGGATTATTAGAGAGTATTTAGTTACACTAGCGCGCTTACTTGTACGGTCGTTGTCCCGGCCGTAAAATTAGTTGCAATAGACGAGGCGCGTGATATGCACGGACACGAAAACTCACCCGATTGCAACAGCATTTGAACGATCGAAGGGTCTCCTTTCAAAATGGCCAGATCGAGAGCCGTGGGTTTTTGATAGTCTGGCCCGAGATCGAGTCGAGCGCCTTGCTTTAAAAGCAGATCGATCACCGTCGGATCCCCGCCAAGGATCGCGTAATGCAGAACGGTCCGGTAATCGTGCCGCGCGTCAGCCATCGAATTAACATCTGCCCCATAGCTCAGCAGAAGCAGCACCGAGGCTATGCCCTGAGACGAACATGTTCTCATCTGGTAAGTAGAGATATTTCATATTTCACCGTGGATCATTTACCTGCGGTAGTCTCGCTGCTTTCATCAACGGCGTGAGTCCAGCACGGTCCCGCGTGTTAGGTTGAGCCCCGAACGCTAACAATAATTCCATGCATTGCAGATCCAACGGAGAAACCAGATTAATCTCCGAACCGAAGAAGTATCTTTTATTCGGATTTGCACCGGCTTCCAGCAGAATTCTGGCCACTTCGACATGTCGATTTCTCAGAGCAAGCCGTAGCGGTTCGTCGCACAACGTTGTCCTGCGCAGATATCGCGGATCGTCATTGTCTTTGAGTTTGATTGCGCGCTCACGCGTTATTGCTACCGGACACGCGATCTATTATTTCTTGCTCATCCCTTCTATTCGCTTTTCACATCCCGTCACTTTCATCCCGTGGTCGTCTTTCCATTCCATTTCCATCTCATCTCCGATCCCTCACCCCGTTCCCTCCTTTTACCACCCATCAACATTCCATCACTTCCAAGTCTGCGTGTTTCTTAACATCGATAAAAAAATATAAGCTATAAGACGAAAACAATTTGTATACGCGTATACAGCGAGGTGTAATTACATGCAACGTCACGGATCAATTCATAGCACAGGAAGCGGTTGATCTTTGGCACGTGTTCCAAGGTCGTCAAGATCCAACCGACCAATTAATTTCTCATCGAGATTAATTTCTCATCGACGTCGATTATACACTTACCGACGTTGATTCTCAAGATTTTCAAGATCAATGAAAAAGCGATAGTGATGTCATGGCTGGCATGTATCGCGAAGGTACGTTAGTAAAGAGAAGAGAGATAGAGAGATAGATAGATAGATAGATAGATAGATAGATAGATAGATAGATAGATAGATAGATAGATAGATAGATAGATAGATAGATAGATAGATAGATAGATAGATAGATAGATAGATAGATAGATAGATAGATAGATAGATAGATAGATAGATAGATAGATAGATAGATAGATAGATAGATAGATAGATAGATAGATAGATAGATAGATAGATAGATAGATAGATAGATAGATAGATAGATAGATAGATAGATAGATAGATAGATAGATAGATAGATAGATAGATAGATAGATAGATAGATAGATAGATAGATAGATAGATAGATAGATAGATAGATAGATAGATAGATAGATAGATAGATAGATAGATAGATAGATAGATAGATAGATAGATAGATAGATAGATAGATAGATAGATAGATAGATAGATAGATAGATAGATAGATAGATAGATAGATAGATAGATAGATAGATAGATAGATAGATAGATAGATAGATAGATAGATAGATAGATAGATAGATAGATAGATAGATAGATAGATAGATAGATAGATAGATAGATAGATAGATAGATAGATAGATAGATAGATAGATAGATAGATAGATAGATAGATAGATAGATAGATAGATAGATAGATAGATAGATAGATAGATAGATAGATAGATAGATAGATAGATAGATAGATAGATAGATAGATAGATAGATAGATAGATAGATAGATAGATAGATAGATAGATAGATAGATAGATAGATAGATAGATAGATAGATAGATAGATAGATAGATAGATAGATAGATAGATAGATAGATAGATAGATAGATAGATAGATAGATAGATAGATAGATAGATAGATAGATAGATAGATAGATAGATAGATAGATAGATAGATAGATAGATAGATAGATAGATAGATAGATAGATAGATAGATAGATAGATAGATAGATAGATAGAGAAGGAGGGAGGGGGGGAGAGAGAGAGAGAGAGAGAGAGAGAAATTGAGAGAAAGAAGAAAGAAAGGGAAAGATGGCAAGCAATGTGTCGTACCTTGGAAATAGTTCTCCGGTTTCCTGCCTGTGATCGACTTTGGCACCATGCTCGAGCAGTAGCTTCACCAAATCTAAGTAACCATGTTCGGCGGCAAGATGCAATGCCGAATAACCACATTCGTCGGTCGCGTCAATGTCCGCGCCGCGTACCAACAACAGCTGAGCCGCCTCCGTGTACCTCTGCCAGACCGCGTAATGCAACGGTCTCAAGCCCTGTGTCACGGACTCGTTCGCCTTAGCCCCGCACGCCAATAAGATTCGAATCTCGTCGAGCGGTTGTAAGCGAATTATAGCATCGGCTAACTCTCGCTGTAATGGATTGGCGATGCATTCGGAGGGCATCTGTGATACGTTGAAATCGACAAAAGAGAACGATTAACATTGTAGTCGCGCGATCTCTCATTATCCATTATCGCGCTTTCATTCGCCCAGATCATCAGCATTTCACAGTCCATATTTTACGTTCGTACTTTCCCAAACCTGTTTTTCCTTTGCACGGTTTTCCCTGTCTCTAATCGCCACCCACATCCACTCCCCTTTGATCCTCGTCCTTCCCGCCTTTTCTCATTCTACGTTAATACTTGGCACGCCACGGGACCGCGTGCGCGCGCCCGCGTGTGTATACGTGTGCGTACGTGTGCGTGTAAGTAAGTACGTATGTTGCACGCGCGAATACCACCGCGTACGATCTCCGTTCTTCGAGGTGAAAAAATCACGAACCCGATCGATTCTCGTATGCGGATCAGCAACGAAATACGAGAAACTTTGTCATTCGACGGAACAATCGAGATCTCGTTTCGGCCATCGAAACCGTGCCAAAGTGACGGTACAATTTTGGCGATGATATCGGAAGTACGTTGATCACACCGATCGAGAACCGTCTCAACGTATTTTCCATCAAGAGTTACCGTTTTTCTCTCTTTCTCGCACATAATGTTCCGTATGTTCGTACGCGTCATATCGTACAATTGTATGTACGCGCACACACATGCACACACACTTGTTTATATCTCTGGGCAAGTGGATTTTTTACCCTACTTCCTTTTTAACGTCCCTTTTACTCGTCTTAAGTCGTCGTATACTCACGTTCGTCCGAATAAAATGGAATATAATTCAACGCGCTTTATATTCAAATATCAAAACGAGAAGGTTTGTTCAGGGAATCTTTAGACGAGATACGCGACGATAAGATAGAAAGATATTAGAAAACGATAGGATGCGATATCAGCGACGCGGCGAAACACGGCGCGACACGGCGCGACACGGCGCAACACGGCGCAACACGGCGCGACAAAGCAGAGCAAAGCACAGCGTGGCGCGAATAAACAGCATATATATCGTACGATGTATAGATACGTGGACGTGTGTGCCTGGACGCGCGCGCGTATGCAGTAAACGAAAGAGGAAAATAGATCTTAAACGATTTTCGATTCTTCGTCTGTTCGTGTGATCGGAAAATGTCACGATTTGACGTTTGCCTTTGGAAATCTCAAGTTGGTGGTTATTTACTCACAGTGAATACTCTGCGATGCTCCAGCATGTAGAAACGGTGTTGTAAACTGCCTTCTTTGTCGGAAAGTTGGTCCTATTTAAAGCTTCGAACCGTGATTCCGCCCGAAAATAACACAAAGGGAACGCGCGGGAGTGTGCGCAGCAAATCATCCGCTCGCGACAACTACGCAATTTTCGCTTCGAAGAACTCAATTCGAATCGATGCGCATCTTTCGTTGATCCTCGACAGCATTTATATTCCCGTTTCCTGCAAACTTTCCCAACGTACATGTATACATACATATCACCATCCCCTCTTTTCACCACCACTTTTTCCTTTTTCCTTCGGTACTTGCTTCGCATCTTCTTCAATCGTTGCCCCCCGAAATCGAGTCGACTTTTACGAATTCGTCACGTTCACGTGCGCGACAATGCGAGATAGTGTAGCAACCGTCCGTCCCGCCGTGATCTCCAATTCTGTCTCGTCTATTGGTAAAGCCTCTCTTCTTCCCAAATGCACCTCCACGTTGCTAAATCGAATATCAATGGCACACACGAGTTCTACCATGTTTGCGCCAAGTTCTCTCTTTCTCGTCAAGGCAACCTAACGACGAATCGAAAACCTCGCGATATCGATAATTTTACACCGGTATCTACGTAGATACGCGTGTATGCACACGTTTGTTTATTTAAGCAACCGAAAAGAGGCAAGTTCGCGAACGAATGCGTTTCCGAGAAATGACTACGGTTCGCGAGTAACTATGAGAGTTTCCTTCTTTTTGGCTTGCCTGCCAAAATACATGCGGTGGCCTTTTACCTACCTTTTACCTACCTTTTACCTACCTTTTACCTACCTTTTACCTACCTTTTACCTACCTTTTACCTACCTTTTACCTACCTTTTACCTGCAGATATCGATACGCGAATAGTTCCCGATATACCCTTGCTATTTCTATATTTTCGACATGTCCTATATAACCAGACGAAACTCGAGTACATGCTTATGTAAAAAATCGCGAAACGTTTTAGGGCCAAACGGGATTCTACCCTTTCCGCGCGTATATGTATGTTTCTACACGTTTGCTAATAAACACTCCGATACAAACTGCGATCCAATGTTCGTAAGCCAGTGTAAACAGCAACAAAGGCAAACACTTTCGTACCAAATATATTTTACCAAATAATCCAACACACGCTCATTTTTGGAAGTACTTTTATTAAGAAATACTTTGCACTTATTAAATGCCTTATATTCTTAATTCATTTTAATTATAATTATTATTGTTATAGCGTTGTCCTATCTTTCTACTTAGAAGCATGCTTCGCTAACACACGTTACACGACCCTAAATTATAAGCAATTTTTTTGTCCTTAACGTACAGCTTATGCGTAAATCAAACAACAATACTTTAATTTCACGAAGCCGACAAGTGCAGAGTTTTCAATGGAAATCTTCGCAACCTACGAAAAATTCTGTACAGAAGTGCCTATGTGTTGCGACTCGAGGAAACTTCGAATTCGTTATTGTTGCTATGATTCCATATCTTTATCTCTTTTTTTTCTCTTTTTCCATCCCCCGCCCCCTCCCCACCTCTCTCTTTCTTCTTTTTATTATCGAATAACAAATATTTGCACGCGCAACAATATCGATCGTCACACTGGATGACCGATTTATCGGAAGTTTCCTCTCGAAATCAGTTCGGTAATCGTGCGAACGATGCCATCGCCCTTTTACTTATCTCTGCTTTTGCCTTCCATTCCGTGTTCCCGAATTCTTTAAGGGCCACGACAGAAACGTAGAAACAAGGAAGAAAAAGAAATACAATTCGATACTTTCTCCTCCTTCTCTGCCCCCTCTCTCCTTCTTCCGCTCCTTTCTCCTCTTCTTCTTCTTCTACTACGTTTTATTCTACTTCTTCTCCTGCGTTCTTTTTTTATCTTTCGACTTTTTACGATGCGAGACGGGTACAACACACTTTCGCGAGAACGTGGTCGAACTTAACAACGCAGGGCTTTGCACGACATATGTAACTATATTTGTCGCTAATTACTAATTTATCCGTCTATCTGCGACGCGTAGACGCGCCTCGAACGTACGTGCATTCGGACACATGTATCACATCGAACGATACCGTCCCTCGAGCGGAAATAAAGCGGCACTCGATCGCGTTTCATTCGTTCCCGAACAATAAATCTTTCAAGACAGCTCGCTCGATACAACATTACGTCTAACGTATACACGCTACGCTTTCTTAATGGTTACACTAAATTTGTTACTCTTAAGGAACCTACGTTTAGAAAATTGGACTTTTTATAGGCTTGTGTTTTCTTCGAAAAATATCTATAGAACGTTCTTCACGATTGTAATTCGAGCAAGAAATCGATCGATCGGTCTGTTGTACACACTTCGGGACGGGAAGATCGACCGACAGTTTTACCAAGTGGACAAATTTTATCGTGCAACACGCTCGTTGCTTAAACGGAATTTCACATTAGTGCAATTTTT